GCTGTCCCACTGAAATCAATTAGGGCTCATGCAGAATGAGGTGCGGCTGTACACGGCTGAGGGTACCGGCGCCTGGCTCTGGGTGACCGCTGTGTCTGCTCTAAGCAGAGCGTCGGAGTGCTCGGCGGGGAAACTGGGAAGGTTTCTTCTGCTCCATTACCACAAAACACTAAAATGGCTCCAACGTTGGGTGCTGCCAAGTATCGGGCGTATAATGCATGTCCTAAAGCAGTCAGGCTGTTGTTACGAGTGCAAAAAATATTAATAAATCATTGGTTGTTTAAACTGAATCATTTAGAGCTCATCTGGCTAATGAGGAAGAAAAAAATGAACTGAACACTTCTTTTCAGTTCTACGGAGACGTATGAGATCAGCTGTTCGTTGGAATCTATCAGTGTACATACCTCGTTAGCTCCCTTGTGTAAAATTCCTTATCTATGTCTTATTAGTCTTTCATTAATTAAAGCTACAGAATTCAGCATTTTTATGTTAGCTGTGCTCTCAGCATGAAATTTAGCTAATTCTTCTACTATTGGAAACAAAGCTCAAAGATTGAAGTTTATTTTCATTGTGTTCTTTCAGTTACTCTTTTTCTTATTGCTGTCATGCATGGATGGATTTATATGATGCTCTGATGACCTTTAGAAATTCTTCTGATTAAATGCTGTTCTACTTCATTATGACATTTCTGTACTTGTACTACCAGATTTGATGTGTACAGCTTAATAACACAACTAGACGTGAATGCTAATAACTTTACAATTCATTGCATTGCTATTTTTTAACGTAGATGAAATTTAAAACAAGTTTCTCTTGCTGCAGGCTTACATGAATCATATAAATTAGAAGGTAACAAAAGAACATATTAGCATTTGTTAGCCTGGATGCACAAATTTTGTAGTAACCATTTTAATATGTACTACAACTTTTCCAGCCTCAAGTTTAATATGTACTACAACTTTTTACCCTTGATTTTTCAACCAACACCATAATTGAATTGGTTCCCTTCTTGCCTAAGGATAATGATTTTACACTGATGGAATCTTTATTAGATTCTAAGGGTTATACTGATGCCGCCTGTTTTACATAGAGAGAATCACAGCTACTCAACTGTAAAACACTTTTACACATAGGCTACTGTAAGCCCGAGATATATGAACTAATTATTATGTTGAGAATTGTTGTTAAGAGCCAACATCTGTAGCTAGAGCAAACATCTTGATGCCGGTCTGCGTGGTGGGTGTGGAGTGCCTTGAGAGCCCGGCCCCACTGCAAAGCCTGGGAATTCGGCAGGTGGCAGCGAGCTGCGGCTGTCAGCACGTCCCAGCACTGCTTGGCTGTTCTTGGGTGGATGGAGGGAAAAGAGAGCCTGGTTTCAGCATAAATGATGAGTTTCTGCAACCCAGAAAAACATCAGTGTTGCATGGGTAGTTATGTTTGATACCGCAGAAATGGCTGCTGAATGAATTGATTTTGCAGTTGCTTCCTCGTGTGCTAAGTGGGTGGTGGCTGGAGTGGCCACGTCCAAATAACTTGAGAAGTCTGACTGGTAAAAGGTGTTTTGGACCAATGGACCTGTGTCTATTGAGCAATCAACAGTTGGAATGCAATACAAATACCTGCAACCTCCAACCAGACAAAAAGGGAAGTAAAACTTTAAATATACAAAACATTTTGCAGTTTAAATATAGAAAACTACAGAAGTGTCTGGAACTGGAATTAAGCAAGTAGTCCTTCCTCTGACTTTCTTAAAGCTGGAGGTTAACCTCAATTAAAAATACATTTAAAAATCGTGTTTCTGTAAGTATCCACTTAAAATGATTTTAAATCAAAGGTGAGAGACCAGTCAGCATAACTCCAATGGACTGCTCTTCCGTGTAGATTTAAGAAACCTTCATGCTTCATTACTGTGGATGGATATCACTTCTAAGGTCATAAAATGTGATTGTTTTCCCACACTTACACTTCAGTCAGTTTTATTCACTACAGAAAACAAGAGTAAGGACCAGCACCAATTGTAAACTTGCATTTACTCAACTAAAACTCTGTAAACAGAGTGATCAATATATGAAATCAAATGTTATTTCCATGGTGCATTAAGATATTATCAAACTGCTGTGCTTCTTGCCTCCTTTAATATGCCTCGAGGTATAGCACACCACTCCAGTTATGCGTGGTTCAATAGTTTCTTTAAATTGAGATGTGAACATCTTTAAAATAAAAAAAAAAAAAGAGGAAAAAAAAGAAAGCAGACCTAAAGCTAATAGAGCTGCACTGAATTCATCTCAAATACGTTAAATTTTCTTGACACCATTACCCTTTCCTTTGGAAATTTCAGAGTGTTCTTGGCTAACAATAAAAATAAGAAAAAAAAAAAGTAAAATCTAAACAAGAAAACTCATTTGCCCATCTACTTTCAACCTTTTGCTCTTTGTCCTGGGTATTTGCAGCAAAGGAGACAAAATCCCATCAAGTGTCCTTCTAAGCATCGCATGCTGCTTTATGCCGTTTGCTATGCTTGAGCTTTTGCCTTTAACAACAAAAGAAAATAATTAAGGTGGTTGTAGCAAAGTTAAATGAAGACTGTAGCCGGAGACAAGGTTCTGGATTGTAACCCAGGCTCTGAGACTCTTTTATTGAACAGCCTGTGCTAAATTGTGTAACCTCTTAGCTGCTGGTTCCCTGCCTATAAAGTGAGGGTGTTGAGCCTTACCTACCCTGTCCTTTGGCACCTCTTGGCTCGTGTTTGCGTGGTGATTTCAAAACTTAAAACTGTGAGCTGCCTCCTTCCATAGCGAGGAGATGGCCCAAAGCTTGAGGTCTTCTGAAAATCGACCAGATTTCTGTAGGTCTCCAGGGGAGGAGAGAAATCTGTTGTTGTTGCAGTAAAACCTCATTATAGACTTGGTGTTACATTTCGTAAAGGATCGGTTTGGGAAGCATCTGCTATTGCTGTGTCGGAGGAGGTGGGAGCAGAACTGCGGAGCAGCTTTAAGTTGAGTTTGGGGCATCAGAGGTAACAGCAGACTTCCAGGAAAGGAGCGCTTCAATCTCCACTCCGGTGCCTGTAAATCTTCAGAAATAAAGGAGAAGAGGTACCGAGGATGCCCAGTGGATGGAGGTGCTCTGAAGGATGCACGGTGACGTTTGACTGCACCTGGCTCCGAAGGTGCTTGCGTATCGCTGTGGTTGCTCTTAGGGCACGTGTCAGGGGCTCTGCGAGCAGTTCGGCTGCAGTGGCACCGAGCACCTGGTGAAGGCCGGGGAGAGCAGCGGCAGCGCTTTGGCAAGTGCCGCGTCCCTGGCCGCCTGCTCAGGTAAGAACAGCGCTGCCACCAGCCACAGAGAGCCACACCGATAGCTCTCACAGGGTGGCTGTGAGATAAAAGTGGTGCCCTGCTACTCAGACCATGCCTGGAGTAACTCTGAGGCGTCCTGGCAGACTTGGTGGTCTCGCTCTTTCCAAATAAATGGAATAGGGAACAGCAGTTATGGAAAGACAGCCAGAAGTAAAGGGTTTATTTTTCTGTCCTTTTTCTTTCTAAAACAGCATTTCATTTTGGTGCAAATGTTAATATTGACAAGTATGTTTTATAATTTGCAAATGCACATTAGGCTGAGCTGGTGCATTGTTTTTTAATATTTAATGCACATAGTTTAGCTGGTATGCATTAATCATATTCCCATTGCCTTTGTTATGTTAATGGGAGAAATAAGCTCCTGGTTTTCTTTTATTTTTAAAAAAAGAAAACTGGTAAGACTTTTTAAAGATGCATTATATATCAGCAGCTAATGAAGAGGAAATAATGATGACTCTGCACTGTAATATGTATTAGAGCACTAATTAGACTACAGCAGAACTGCTTACGGATGTCTTTTAAACACCTGCTCGGTAATTTCCAGCCCCATGCGTTACTACATTTAGCCAGGCATGCGTGCACGATCCGGAGACAGAGTTAAGACCGAAATGTGAAGCGTGGCACACATCAGCCTGCCTTTTTGTCTTTTCTTCATCCAGCTTTACGTATGTTTAAGGAAAGGATGAGGGAGCTGGCCACTGAACAGCCCTTCTTGTTGGCTGCTCCTGTGCTTTCCATTGCCTGGTGCAGATCAAGGGGAAGGAGATAGATATGTGTTGGTTTTTTTCTGATTGTACAAAGGCATTCGGTTTCCAGGCCAAGAATTCCCCACTGATACCATTGCCTTGCATCTGTACCAGGCCAGAAATTTCTGTATTGCTGCTCCAACGTTTGCTAATTATTGATTTATTTTTGAGTGTCTGTTTTTGAGATGGACATTTTTAAAGCTGTTTCTTTTTTTTTCCTTTTTCTTTCTTTTTTTTTTTTTTTTTTTTACTGCAGTAAGAAACTACAGATATCTCTACTCTACACTTTATTTGCTTTTACATTTTTGCCCATTATGTAAGAATTGTCCGTTAGATGAGAACTGAATTATAAACATGGATATCAAGTGTGGAGCCCTCAGCATAATAGCCTACAATGAGATTAATAAAAAATTCTAATTATAAAAAGTGGTTTCCTTCTTTGACGGGCCCAGGCTTCATCAGCAGGCTTTGAACTTGCTCTAAAAGAGCTAGATGTTGTCAATAAGTTGTTCGCAAGAACATCAATCCTCATGCAGTAAGTGCTTGCTTTGCATTTCCATATGCAAAACATTCTGGAGCTGCTGCCCTGTGGCAGTAATGTGTAGTGAAAGCTGCTGGCCTAGGGATGGTTTGTGCCATCCAACTTATTTAACCCCTGGGGCAGGTATGTTTAGGGCCGTGGCCTCTGTCCCTGTTAACTGTGTTTGGGGAGAAACCCTTTCTCAGGAAATGCTTGTGTAGGACAGCTTTGTTTGCTTTGTATTAAGTGATCTGTTCTGTAGTAGTCCATTATACACTATAATTTCATTATCATAACACTCCTCAGTATTCCCCAAATGCTGACTCTGTGGTGTTTCACCTTCTCTTTTCTTGCTCCCTCTCCTACGACGTGGAGCTGGTTGTGCTGGAGAGCCTGAGCAGGCCCCTGCTGAGTGTGCCAAAGGTGAGCAACTGATCCAAAGCCTTTTTTTTTTTTTTTTTTCTTTCCTCTTGATCACGAAGTTTTTCAGCTGATGCACTGAATCCTGAGATGGTTGCTCATTTAAATGCCACGTGACCACATTTCGTATAAAATAATGGGTTTAAAAGTAATATACGATATTTCTATTTTATAGGTGTCAGATATTTTTTTCTCTATTTCAAAATTTTTGATACTAGATGCAATTTTATATAACCCCATTTCAGGCAGCCATTGTGAGCTACAAATGTTTTCATGCTGTACATAAAATCATTTTTGACTTGCACACAGGGATGCTGCTACTTTATATAACTTCTACCCTGTACCCTAAAGGTAGCAATAAAGCTGGGTAACTTGCTGCAACAAGCAGAGAGAGGATATAGGAGAAAAGAAGAGTGCTGGGGAGGTTCAGCTGTGCCCATCAGTAGCATTTTGCATTTCCTGAGCACCAGACTGGTACCAGATCTACGGCCTGCCCGAAGACCAGGTAAGAGATAAGGAGTGAGTGCAAAGGGTACAAAGCAGCATCAGATGCTGTAAGCCAGTGCAATAGCCAGGTGTGGGTATATTGAATGGAGAGAGGGAAAAGGGGAATCTCTTTTCCTTCCCCTCTCTCCTGCTTAGCACGTGGTCTGACCCAGAGTGTGGTGCTGTGCTGCTGGCAGAAGTGCAGTGGGTCTCCTGCAGGCAGTCCCGTGGCACGTTTCATGGTGCTTTGGGGCTGAGAGGGCTCTGTGGTGCTGGGAGATGTCACAGTGTCAAATATTATCACTGACAGATGCCTGGGGGGCTGGGATAACACAGGAAGATGCCTTTAGGTAGGAGGTTTACAGGCAGAAACCCTGTCCTTCTCAGAAAACATTCTCCAAGTGGAGGACAAGGAACTTACCTGGATACAGACAAACAAGCAGCTAAAAAAACCCGCACCAAACTCCAAGCAGTTGCATTCTTCATTAGGATAAGTGGTGGTCTCAGCACAGCAGGTGCCTAAACGCCAGCTTTTGTGGAGGCAATAGAGCAAAGCATAAACGCGTTCGTGCAAGGGAATCAGGGGGCCAGAGCCTGAGTCTTCAGGAGCCCCCGGTGGCTCTTTTGCCTTGCTGAGTGTTGGCGAAGCGAGCCTGCTCGCTTGGTGACACCAGCTGTGCACCTGACAGCAGCTGCTGCCAGCTCTGAACCCACCCTGTAACGAAGCGCTGAGCCAGTACATCGGGGATTTCTGAGCACATCAAACCCATCCTGAAAGTAATATTCTTAGGAGGTTAGGTGCTTGCTGTCAGTTATGGGAGAAGCTGGCTTGCAGGATCACGAAGAGGAGGGAGGAGGAGGAGGAAGGCACTTTGGAAGGGGTCATGCTGGGCAGCCCGGGTGGATTTTGGTGTTTGCCCCTTGCTCACGAGATGAAGGAGCAGCCCGAAGAGGTGAAGGAGCAGCCCTTTGGAGGGCTTCTTCTGGGCTTGTGCCTGTCCCCATGGGGGTCCTTCCCTACCACCTCCCCTGTGTGCTGCAGGTGACTCCAGAGATCTTGGCTTCTTCTTCCTTACTGCTGTTTAATTGCCGATCTATATCGGCAGTATAATCAGGCAGAAGCCATATCAATGTAATCACAAACCCTCAACAAACCAACAGTCATTCAAGTCCTGTACATATTGACAGGCAAAAGCAAATCCTCACCTCTTCTCCGTTCTGCATACGTATCATTTTCCTGCCAGCTCCTTCAGCACTAGAAATTCAATAACCGAGACCAGCGTTTGTGTCAGTAAATGCAGCGTGTGGTCTGCCCCTTGCCTGAAGGCTCAGACACGCTGCCACGCTGCTGTTTCTCCTTTGGAAGCTGACAAGGGTCAGAGTTTCATTCTTTATCTCCCTTTTCGTCTTCTCCAGGCTGCCGAAGGAAGGAAGTGGCATGCTGGGGAGTTCAGAGGTGTTGAAGACAGCCCTGACCGTTCTGAGTGCCTCGTGGGAGGACGAGGAGGAGTGGGAAGCAGAGCTGAGCATCGCTGCCCTGCAGCCCCGGCTGGATGCTGCCAGCGTTACCCCTGCCTGCCCTCCAGCTGCACGGCACAAAGCCCATGCAGAACTGCCATGGCAGGTAGGAAACTTCCAGCCCGGTCTAAAGTAAATCTGATTCCTGAAGGTGAAAAAGGTTAAGATTAACTTTAAATGTCTTGAATTTCCTGCGGGACTGTGTTCTGTGGAAAGGATGGTGGGGCTCGTTCAGCTGCTTACCCCTCACACTACAGTTACGTGGCTGGAAGGATTCAGCTGTCAGCGTGCTGACAAGTGCCAAGAAGCTCTTGCTAAGGGCAGCGATATCAGAGCATCGTGTCCCATACAGCTCCCTGAGTACCGGGGCTGCTGTCAGTGGGAGCAGGGTCGGACGTGGGGCTCTGCTCCTCGAGGCAGGTCTGGCACCCAGCCCGCAGCTCCTCCCGGGGAGGGCTGGGCTGGGCTGCTCAGGGTAAGTGCGAAAGCTCTGAAAAAGCACGACCTTTAAATTCAGGCTGAAATGGAAAGATCTGCTGCTACATAAAAATCCGGGCTTGCTTTCATGTGTCTGAGCATTCGGGGAATAGATGTAGCTTAAAATGCAAATGCAGTGCCTTCTGCAGAGTGTCTCTGCTTTTCAAGATCTCTCTTTTCACGCTGTTGCTGCTCCCTGCCCTGCTGTTTCTATGAAAAGGGCCTCTCCGAGGAAAAGTTTCCCACAGATAGAAATCCAGCTGATACGGTTAAAAAAAATGAAACTTGTATTTTAATTTCTGAAATGTGTCATGTCCATCCAAAACTTGGCATTCAGCATCTTCTCAGGTGTTTAGAAAACAGCAAGCCAGATTTCTGTATGCACTTTACTTCTCATCCATGTAAGGGAGTGGATCTGAAGTTGGGAGATGGGGTCCTGCCCTGCCGTAGGTGTGCAGAGGAAGGTTTTCCTTCCACCAGCAGTGATGCTCTGGGGCCTTCTGACATGTTCTTCTGTGTAGCTCTTTTCTCTGCCTCTGAATTGCTGTGCTCACGCAACTTAGGTGTCCCGTGCATATAAACTGATGTCCAAATGCTTTTACTTGTGTCACTCATGTTAAATGCCTGAAATGCCCAGGTCCAGCAGCTGGCTGGTGAGTCTGTTCCCCAGAGGTTACACGTGCTCGTGTGACACACCACCAGCATCCACTACTACAGTCATGTTTGCGTGGCACTTCAAATTATCTCCCTTGGGCTACCTGGACATCAACATCTGTCTTTAAAGTGACGTGTGATGTGTTACTGATGGGTGAAATACAGGAAAGGTTTGACATTTCTCTAGCACCCTGCATTTTTATTCTCTTATAATTTCACTTCTTTTCCATTCTGTGCCGCTACCGTGTAATTCAACATTTTAAGTGTATTGTTCCTAACAGTGTCTGCTTATATTTTTAAGCTTGTCTGGTTATTTTGACAACAAGAGGCATCATAAATTATGTAAGCAATTTGTCTCCTTACAAGCAGGTCCCAGCCCTGTGCTGCCCAGATAAGAGCAGCGAGACAGAAGCCGCTTTAGTGTACTGCACTTCAGCTGCTCTGTAACCAGAGAATAGAGCACACAGCACTTTGGAAATGAATTGAAACTGCATAGAATAGGAGAAGAAAATCGGATCTGAGTCCTGCTGAAGTCTTGGGCTCCTTCAAGAATTGGGGAGGTGAGGTTTGTAGTAATCAGGTCATGAAGTTGTGGTTGTGGCCGTGCCATGGGCTGCATGTAACAGAGCACATGGGTAGCACAACCTGGGTCTAGAAATCAGGGTATCTTCATCTCTAGAAGCTGGGCTTTCATCCCAGATGTGGAGGGCTCTGATACACAGGGCTTAAAGAAAATCAGAAATGTGGGCCAGGGGAGGGAACTGAACCTGTCTAACATCTCGTTTCTTACCCAAACTCCAAAACAAAACAAAACAAACAAAAAAAAACACACAAAAAACAACCACAAATTCTGGTATTTTCTTGAAGGAAAGACAGTGAGGGCCTTTAGGAAGACCCCTGGGCTCTGCACCTTGAGTGGGCTGAAATATTTCTCTGTAATTCTTTTTCTCTGTGTGTGTGTGTGCTGGGAATGTTCCAGCCCTAGTCTCAGCACATGGGCTTTTTTTAGGTTCGACTGCAAGGCTCCTAGGGCACGGGTCAGCCAGTGTGAGGGATCTGCTCCTGACCCTTCAGTCATCTTTTCATGGAAACATGTCATTATGGCCTAATTGATAATCTGGAGGACTGGCAGCAGTTATCTGTGACAGACGGCCTCTGCTGGGCAACCTCTGGCTCTGATGGCTCCAAAATATGACACAAGTCTCATCTTTTCAAGAAAGCCTTTACCAGATGGGTCTAAATTAAAGCATGGCCTTTCCCATTGCTTTATAGATGATAGCTAATTAACCACAGAATGGGTAGCTCTGCTCCTGCTGAGGGCAGGCAGAAGTGGGTGTTTGATATCGAAGCATTTATGGGTTTGGTTCCAGTACGTCTGTAAGGAGAGATGATGAAGCCATTAGACTAAATGTCGATGTGTGTGTTGAGCTGTCCATTATTCTGAATGTACCAGAGCTGGCCCAAAACAGGGCACTTCTTGGGATGTCTGTCATGAAAAAATATTTATTTTCTCTTGTTTTTACTATAGTTCTGAAATGACCAACCCTATATCAGCTTGTATTTCTGTAATCAGTCCTATTAGGAGACTACTGCCGAAATTTGTGGTCGCAGCCGAGGAGCACAGAAGAGGCTGAAATACAGCTCTCTTCTTGCTTTCCAAGTGCTGCCTGCATCCATTTGTTTCTGGCAGTCGTTCCCCACTCAGCAGGCAGGTTTGTTGTCTGACATTTGAACCTCCAGCTTGTTTAGCAGGGCTCCTCTCAATCCTGGGTTTGCTTCTCTGAGGAAGCGTTATCCCCAGGCTCCGGCAGGATGCTTTATTCTCTTTTTCTCTTGTGCATGAGAATGGCTCCAAGAGATCGTTCTCCTTCGGGCAGGAAATCCTGAAAACGCTGGAACTTTTCAATTAGATGCATTGCAAACAGTGCTGATTGCCAGCCTTCTCTTTCTTCTCTTACATTAGCTATAAAAAGCATTTTCTCATCCCCTCCCCAATCAAATTGAAAATGGCCTATTTTTATACGCTTCTCATAAGCATGTCTATATGGTAGATGTGAGGAGTTTGAGCTTATCTTCTGTTATGTAAATACTTCTGTGCTTCTAGTATAAAGTTGTTTTTCCCTTTGATCCAGTTTTCTTGGAGCTGGTTTAACCTTCAGGAGCCAAAAGAGATTCGTGGAGATTGCTGATGGCGTTGTTCCTGAGGAAAACTGGAGAAAAGAAAGCAAACTTAACGCTACCCGTGTAACAGCTTGTTTAGAGATGAATGGCTAACTAAAGGATGAGGTTGCCTTGAGGTGTCTTTTTAAGCAAATTTTTGCTTAAAATAGCTTGGGACAAGATGTAAAAATAGCAGTTGCCATGTTCATGTAGTGCTGCAAGCTGGAAGCGGTGCTGGAGTCCTGCTTCTGGACCAGTGACCAGGAGTGGTTCCGTGGTCTGCTGCCTGGGTAAAGTTGTGTCTGTGGGGTTTATGCAGATAGGTCGTGTCCGGGTGTTTGCATGGATGTTTATCAGGCCAGCTTCTGCTGTCCCCTTGAAGGAAGAGGGCATATTTTCAGAAACAAGCAATGCCAATGTTGACAAAGTCATGGATGTGAAGGCAAGAAGGAACCTCTGCAAGCATCTGCCCAAAGCCTTCCCATCCCACTGGTGTGGGCGATGCTCCCAGGCTGGTTGCTGATCCTGGGAGCTTGGCAGCAGCCCCCACAGGTGCAGGTGCTGTCCTCAGGAGTGACAGGAACCATGGTGGTCTCTTCTTGTCTGAGGGGGTTGCTCATGGGGATCCTGTGAAAAACTTCTGATAAATCTTCTGGAAATGCAAGCAAAAGTGAAACTTCGTTTCACTTTTGAACGAAGGTCAGACAGGTCTTCTGAAACTGGGGTAAGGGTTTCATTAGTCTGGGATCTGGCCCCCAGCACTGGATACTATGGTTGCTTGAAAATAAGTAATTAAATATTATTTTTATTTTTCATGTTTCCAAGGCAACGCAAAACCCCAAGACAGTGGTTTTCAGTACATGAACTGAAGCTTCTGGCTGCTGCAGAAGAGTTTTCCTCTATGTCTCTCATGAAACTTCCATAAAGGTATGAAAGCCGTATTTTCTGTCTTTGTAGTCAATTTACATCCTGTATCCAAAAACTAATGACAATCAGATGCAGCTGATGAAATAATCTGTTCTTGCTGCAGAGCTCATTCAATCAGCTGAGAGCTCTGCTGCTCACATAGATAATGAGTGTTGTGACAAGTGTAACTCTGCCTCAGTTTGGTGGCAATGTTAGAAACTGTGACAAAAATTAAATTATTTGTCTGCTTTAACCGTGGCCCTTCTCGGATTGCTAATGAGAGAGATCCTTGTTAAACATATGTTCTTTTTGATAGGCTCCTTTTCAGGTCCTCAGCTGGGAAAATGATGTATTGTTTGTATCATAAAGGGCATGAAAGAGAGGGTTTTCCCTTATTTTCTGTGCCTCGTTTCTTTTTATGTCTCGAGCTGATGTAACAGGTCATTGCTTGTGTGCCAGCATAAAAGGGAAAGATCCCCTAAAACTGAAATCTCTGGGGAGAGCAGTGCTGCTGAACACCTTCCCTGCTACATGGCCCCGCAGCATCGCCCAGCTCTCGGTGTTCGTGCTGAATGAGTGGGCACGGGGAGCACACGGAGGTGCTCTGGTCTCGGGGGAGCATTCACTGCGCTTTCCTTGGGGATGGCAAAAATGAATCTGAGCTTCTACCAAGGGCTGCAGAGCAGCTGGCGCAGAGTGCCTTAAAATAAGTCCCTGTGCATGCCTTGAAGTGCCTGTCACACCGCGCAGACCTTGGCCCCGCTCTGCTGTAACTCTGTGAACCCAGCAGGGAGATTGGCAAGGTTCCTTGAGGGGGGAGGATGCTGTGGTAAGTGCTTGGGAAGAGTGGGGAGTCGCTCCGCAGCACAACTGCCTTCACCTTCCTTCAAAGGGAGCGTTAAGACGGAGCCCTGTCTGCGGTTTTGTAATGGTTTGGTCGCTGGTTCTTGGTCAAACCTTTGACTGAGGGATTGCAACCCCTTGCCTGTGCTGCCGGAGGGCTCCAGCCAGCAGTCCCCATCCTCGGCTGGCACTGGAGGTCCTGTGAGCAGTGCGGGGCCAGGAGGCAGGCAGCAGTGAGCCGGGCTCTCTCAAAGGGGGCTCCTTCCTGATAAACAGTTCTGGGATGTTCCCCTGTCACAGGAGTTGCTTTGACTTTAAATTGTCATTGGCTGAATTAATGAACATTCTGAGGTTGCATAGGCTCCTAATGGGATGCTTTTGATTCTTCCCTTTTCAGCATTTGCAATGCCTTGACGTTCTGCCATCCGAGGGGGAATTAATCGCCGGGATGGCATGAAGAGCACAGCACAGAAAGCAGGCATGGTCCAGACCTCAAGGGACTAATTATGTTCTTAAAGGGTAAGAAAGTAGTCTTAGGTACATTGGGAAGTGTCTGAGCGATGCTACATAATGCTCCTATGCCCAGAGTTACTGGTGTTATCTCCAACACTTGTCTGTTAAAAAAGAAAAAGAGAGACTTTCAAAGACACTTCTTGACCTAAAAAAGATCAGCAGGGAGCTCAAGAGAAGATACTTAGTACCAAAATTTAATGCCAAATGAATTTTTGAAGTTATATTGACCCTTGGAGATAGGAAAACAAAGGAAAGATGCACATGAAGGCCTTACGCATCTCTGAAACACTCTCATGTGCAAACTGAAAAGCCTCAGAACAGAGAGTTCAAAACCAAATGGGGAGCATGGTTGGAGTTCCAGTAGGTGCCATGGCAGACTCTGTGGCATGGCGTTGAATGGGATGGGAGTATGTATCTGGTAGCTAAAGCTGCATGTCCTCTGCCCAGGGAACTGCTGGGGGACTCCCCGCTCTTTGGGAGGGCTGCCAAGGCCCCGTCTGTTTGCATCTCCTCGTCCTGCAGCCAGCACCCTGACAGCGTGGTAGTGACCGGTCCTGCTGATGGTAAAGAGACTTCTCCGACCAAACGCCTCAGCTGGCTTTGGGAAGCACCTCCACGCCGAAGGTGAGACACCAACAGCACTTCTGGGGGAGGTGCAGCGCCCGTGGGTGATGGGGACAGGCTCAGGGCTCAGCTGGGTGCAGGCAGCTTCCCTTTTCTCCCTGCTGAGGCTGCTGAAAAAGGTTTAAGGTTGGAAAAAGGAAAATGCCCATTCCTTGTACATCCTGCTTCCCAGTGAAACCCAAGCTGTGTGCGTGTCAGGAAGGCAAATATGAAAGGTCTTCACACAAAAGCTCTTTTCTAAGAGGTTAAAACTGATGGCTGGAGATACAGTAAGTGTCGCACTGTCTTTTTTTTCCTCCCCCCATTTTGGAGCGTGTACTATACATGCATCAGATTTAAAGAAAAGTAGTGTCGCTTTTTATCAAACAGGCTTGATAAAAGAACAATAATGTACACTCAGTTATATCTCTGCTAAACATATCCTTTTTTATTGCTTTCCAGTAGTTCAAAGCATTAGCATAAAACAATCAAGGAGGTTGTTTTTCCTAAGAGAGAGAGTGGCTGTTTACAAACTCATTTTATTTTCACAATATTCCATTGTTATTTATTTCAGACAGAAAGCTGTCAGATTAATGCATTCCCTCATGCAGGACAGCTTGCTTTATTGCCTGTTATTAAGATATAACATATATAACCTGACAGGCACTGCCCACGTCTGCAATCCACTGGTGAAAGGCAAATTAAGTAGAAAATGGAGATCTCCGATATTTCTTAGGGCTAAAGTGATATTAGTTTTTAACTCATTTTGTATTCAGAGGGGATTCTGCCTTTTCACAACATATCTGATGGAGTAAACTGTCCAAAGAAAAAGGCTTTTTTAATTCTTAGAGAAATTTGGATTTCAGTCACAGGAGACATCAGTTCCCCTCGTATAAGTGTGTGCCAGGGAAAATGGAAAAAGAATTGGATGGCATGAGAAACCGTTTATAAAGCAAGTCTTGGGGGAATAGCAGGGCAGGGCGAGTAACTTTAAACCCATGCCTAAACCAACCCCCCATATCCCTCATGTACCAGACCTCCACATCCCAAACCACAGGGCTCACACCACCTCCACAAAGGGCTTTGAGCTGGGGATGGTTCCAGCCTGCCTCACGTGCACGTATGGGGCTGGTGGCACTCCTGCAGTGACGCCGAGCGTGCTGTGCTGATGGTGCTGTGGGTGCTCAGCACCCTCTCAGCATCCTCGTGTCCCTGCCTCCAATTGTAGGTGTCGCAGGGACCAGAGGAAGGCCAGGCTCATCCTTCTAGGGGCAGCCTCCTCCTCTCAGCCCCTGCTCCCCCTCTGCCTAACGTTAGCTTTTGGCTTTGCTGTTTGCTAGTTTTGAGAGTTATTAAGCAGCTTGGAGGAATACAGCTACATTATTTCTTTTTTATTTTTTTATTTTTTTATTTTTCAGGACTGAATTCCTAAATTTGTTCAGTGACAGAAACTGCTCCGGAAAAGCCTGCGAAAGGTAAGCTGGCTTTGGGAATGCACATTATCCTTTGATGACTCTCCATGTTTTCCTCCAACACTTTCCCAGTAGTAAATTATTTTTTTCCAACTCTCCCTGGGGTATTAAGTCGGTCTTATTATAGCAAATAAACATTAAAACTGAACTGAAATGAGCTTAGGAAGAAAAGGAGGTCAGTTTATAGGAAGACTAATCTAAATACGGGGTGAAATAGGGAGCAAGGCACATGTCCACCTACAGTCATCTGAAAAAGAAAACCTGCTTTACTCAAGAAAAAGGACTCTAGTCTTGCCTCATGCATATACACTTAGAAACACATCGGGATTATTATTAGCCTTTACTGCAGCATTTGGATCAGCTCCCCATTATGTAGGTTAGGTACAACCCATGTATTCCATGTTCTGAAAACTTAAAATATGGTTTCTGTTCTACCCATGTTTCCACAGAGCAGGTTTTAGTGCTAGAAAGTCACCAGCTTTATGGGAAATTGCAGTACTTGAGGAATAGGCAATTTGCAGGGGGAAAACAGGCCGTGGAATTTAATGATAAATAGTGATATACAACATAAATTATTAAAAAGAACCAACTCTTCTTTAATATAATTACATTTTATTTCATCTCAGAGGAGAGGAAACAGCCTAATTGGATAGATGGGAGAGCAAGCCAGGGAAGGCAAGGCGGCTTTTTGTCTGCTGTGCTGCAAACCTATGGGCACGGGGAGCTCAGCACCTGGAGCTGGACCTTGCGTCCCTGCCTCTGGGCATGACTCCTCCAGAGAGAAATGTGGGCGCAGGCCTGCGTATAGGTTAGGATTTTAGCTTTATGGCAGCAGAGCTACCACGAGGGAAAACCACTCCTGTCCTGCCAGGAAGGGCCAGTTAGCAGGAATATCAAGAACGTAGGCTGAGGACTTTAGTTGTGGTAAATCCCCATGTGTGCAAATACGTAATGCGGACAGGCAGTAATACTTTGAAATAGTCTTGTATCCCTCAATGTAATAAATATTTTATTAGAATAATAGAAAAAATGCATACAGATAACCATAGGATACACACACGACTGGAAGTTTAAGGATAAATTTCAAACTTTTCAATATGAAACAAAGTACTTGGTACATATCTCATGGAGATATATAACTAGAAATTAAATAATACAATGTAATAGCATGAGAATGGCAACACAGGAATGTGAAATAGAATTCTGTGAAACAAGAATAGAAAGATTCACCCTTTGTTGCATGAAACATAACTATATACTTACTAGTAACATCTCTTCTCCATTTCCCCCCTCCCCCCGTTTGCAAGTGTCTGAAAACATCACTGGTTAGCCACATTGAAAAGCAACTAGCCATTTATAACCACATATGTACAGTATATACAGATCTTGCTTACCTCAACAGTTAGCACATAGTTTCATATGGATGTGATACTAATAATGTAATTTGCTATTTGAATGCATATCAAGGTATTTCTACAGTGCTATCATGGTTTCATTAATCCTGGTTCTCTCTCTTTATATTTCTGTGTGTTGTAATAATACTGTGAGATAGAAATGAACCTCTTTAAAAGGATATGCTTTATGTCATGTGAACACTTGCTCTACCATGGATGTGGGTAGCTCTTTAAAAGGTGTCTAGAAGGCTGACTTGGTCTAAATTCGCAACTGTTAAAGTCCAATGTACCAGGTTTAATGTATATTTATTATATTGCTATGAAAGAAAGCATAGATTTCTCTGTAATATCAAGCTTGAAGTGTCTTTGTGTATTTTTTGTATTATAAATTATACTATTGCCATAAACTTACTAGAATTATATGATAGTAATGGGTGCAGTAGAGTGCCAGACCAGGTGAAATACTTTGAACTGGTTAAAGAGCAGCTGGAAGGAGAGTTATGAATGTAACAGCAAATGCTGAATTAAGGATGAGTTTACATTGCAGTGTGGTAGACAAAAGAGCAAAATAATTTTGGGCTGCATATTGGGAAGCACCACATCACAAGGTAGGGAGGTGGTAATAGTCCCTTTTGGTAAGGCCATGGTGCAACTGCATTTCAGTAATGCTTAAACATGGGCACTTCTGTTAGCAAAACGCAATGACAGGAGTTCAGAGAAGGGCAATTAGAGCAATCCTGAAGGTGGGAGAACTTGGTTATGAAGAAGGAACCTGGTTACAAAATATAAGGTAGAGATGCAAGGAAATTAACTTAGAAGTCTATTGATTAAGAGGAGGATCAGGGGCTTGAAGGGTACATAAACATGCACTGTGATAAAACAGAGAGCCTTCTTTGAAACATGGCTGTGAGATAATTTCTTATGAGTAGTAGTGGAAGCCCTGCCTCTTGGACACCTCAACATGGACTGTGCAAAACTAACATTCATGCTGAGACTTTTCTCTACCTTCTAGCTTTGATTTCTTGCTAGATTTAGAATAACCTGTGTAAAGGGCAGCAAGCAAACAGATCCAAGTTGACTGGATTACGACACTGTCTTAAGAACTGCCGGTTGGTTGACGTGTGCTATTCTGACTGAAGGTATGTCTCTGATCTCATCTTTCATTTGTACATAACAATACAGAACGTACTCAAAACAACAATTCATTGTCATTGCAAAAATGGAATTTCTCATAGAGCTAAGCTCGTCCTTGTAGGTGATCACAGTGCCATTGCTTTCACCCTCTCTTTTACATTGTATCTGAAGTATGTAATATGTAAACTCCTTTGGTTCAAGTATTAAGGCATTTTAGATTCCTTTTTAAAGGATTTGCTAAACTTTACATGATATTTTTACTTCATCCTACAGTGAAATATAAAGAATTTAAAAACACGTCAGAAGAAAAACATGCATTAACCACTGCATTTTTTTTAAAAAAAGCACTTTTCTGTAATAACTGATTCATTTTTTTTTTTCTCAGCAAATGAAAATGCATCATCACAACACTGAATTAAGAGTCAAGTAAAATATTGTTGGTAAGAAGCCGGAGAGACTGAATGTATTCAAGACTGGTGGACCAGAACCTCTTGCATCCATACCTGTGACAAATGAAAAAGGTAAGGATTAAATGAAAGCATGAGTATCTGCTGTATAAAATTATTACTCTTATCAGATATTAAACAAAAATTACTGAAAATTTATATTTTTGATAAGCAATGAAAATTAAAAAAATATATTTTAAGCTATAAAAATGTATTTCAAGATGCTGAGACTATATGAATAGTCTTTACTTTCCAGATAATAATGAAAAAAAAAAAAGAGAAAAATTTTTAAAATACTGTTTTTTAATACCAATTTACATGGTAATTTACCAATTCAATAGAATGAAGTTCGTCATGCATAAGGGCATGAAGATTGTTAATTGCTTTTCTTTTTATTACCTTATTATCATACAACATGCAGGCTTTATTTTTTTTCCTCCTATCAATAAGGACTCAATTCCTATAAAGATAAGCTGTGACAACTGCTTAGTGTCAGCTGCAAGTTTAGTAATGCTTCACTACGCGAAGGCAGAGGCAGTCTCTTTGTACTGTGGCTGGTATAAAGCAGGTTCTGATATTTGAGGACATAAGCATGTGACAAAACAACAGTGATTCAGCTTCAACATACTTGCTAGTCTGGGAATCAGGATCTGATCGCTGCTAGTGCCATCTCCACCATCAGTTGTTGCCCTTACTTCTATAATGTAATCGTCATTAAGCTGGAGCAGAATTTCAGCTGTTGTCTTGTCTGTGTTCAGCACATTCATATTGGTCTGACTGCTTGTCCTGTACAAAACCTGCAACAAAAACAAACAGCATCTTTTGCAAAGCTGTAGTGGGTTATTTCTTCCAGTAGGATCTGCCATGCAATTTTTATTAATGTTTCTTGAAAATAAGGTTTTAGGTCTTTAAAAAAGGTCTGATTTTTGGCTAATATTACAGAGCAGAATTGCATTCAGTATCTAGAGAAGTCGTGAAAGAAGGTAACATGAAACAAGGGCTTTTATTCCAACTTTAATCTAAAATGGCACAATGTATGATGATAATGAATAATATATTCTGTTGAGTATCTTAATAATGTATTGTTCTATAAATTACTCCACCATTTGGAATCAGTCATTATCTAGATCAACTACTTAAGCCACCACAAAGTATGAGGAAGGAGATAACAAGTCAGAATGTGAAAATTATAGACCATGTTGGAAGATGTTCTGCAAGCACTGATTAATTATTACCATGAAACTTAACTTCATACGATGTGCTATGTCTCAAACAACAGGAGCTACATCTAAGGGTCAAGTCCTCTCTACTCAAGTATGATCGGACGAGGGATTTAAGGGCAACAACAGCCTCTTTGCTGGTCTGCAGGCCTGATGAGCCAAAAGAGCCCCTACTGCCGTTGGTCCACCTAAGGACAAGGATGCGATGCAGCAGTTATATCCCAAAGAACATACACATCCAGCACATTTCCCTGGCAGAGCTTCACAAACTTGGCAATCAGGTAAGCCTGGGAGTTTCTCACTGCAGTGCAAAACTCAAAAAAAGGCAACCCCAATTCTCCCAAAATAATGGCAGTAGTAGTGGACAGCAAAAAAAATGCAAAGCCACTGGAATTATATACATGATGACCTGCCACCAAACCTTGTATTATCTAAATTACAGCAGTCTCTCAGAACCTTCCCAGCTCTGTGCTACATGCTGCCACCCTCGGGACATGCTCCCTAATGTCGTGCTTTGCTGAAAAAAGCTCTGAGGGACACAACCATATGGCTGGCTTGCACGACGCCTGCGCTATGGCTGCTCTTGTGCTTTCAAGGTCATTTGTTGGATGTTCTCTGCTTGACAAACCAGATTTCTGTTAACTGCAGTGTCCTGGCTTTCGGGGATAAAAATGACATCCCTAAATGCTTTACTTGGGTAAAATTAACCAGCATTATCAAAATTCAGCTTATTGTTATGTACTTAGCAATGCTTTCAATGGGGAGACCTGGAAGTGCTGTGGGAGACAGAGGATGCAGTTTGAAACTGTACATTGGATGGTTTTAGTTCAGCTACCTTCTGTGCTAGATAAAGCTAAGTAAACTTTAAATATGTATTTCTTGCCAATCGAACTGAGAACATTGAATAGTCAGATCTTCAAATAACTCTTTTATACAGGTATGTATCATGCGGGATACATCTCTACACTGATCATCAAGAATATCCTCAGCAATTCTCGTAAGTATACTTAAGATACATGTCATATTTAAGTACTTGTACATTTGTGCACTGATCAGCTTTGGAATAAATGTGGTGATGTAGTTTCTGTGAAGACAATGAGCATGTCTCACAGTAGGTAAGAAGAAAAAGGTTTAGTAATATGAGAAGTACATCAGTTTGATATACGGTACTAATAATTCTAGTTGGCCAGCAATGGAAAGCATTAATGGACCATTAATGGTAAAAGGCCTATGGTTTGTGAGACATTGTTAGGATATGATTAAAATCTAGAAAAAGGAGACAGTACTGAAATATGCATCTTTTAAACTTACTGCCTTCCAAACAGACAAGATAAAGAAGTGTGGATTGCTTTCAGATACTCTGGTGGTGGTCTTTTTGCTTACCTTATACCCAGTCACTTCAGACTCGTTCTCCATGGCTCTTACTTCTTCCCAGTTGAGGATTACTCTGGAGTCAGTAACATTCCACACGATATTTCCTGGTGGTTGACTGGGTGCTTTGAATACATAATAAAAGCATGACTTTAATTTAATTGGCATTAGTGATTTATTCTACAGTAGGAAATAATAGCTCAGGTAATTGACTGTCATTACGTGTCGGATGTAAAAGCAACTCAAATACAGCCTCGTCATTTGTACACTTTATGGTTCAGAGACTAAATTGAAAAAACAGAAGGAAAGAGAAATAGAATGGCACATAAATGTTATTTCTGAAGTTGTATTATCTGTTGATGGTCTTTCATTAAATGTTGTCAAACAAAAGCATTTGTCTAAGACATGTGTGATCAATTAGAACATACTCTAATGAGACAGACCAATGATGACAACAGACAATATCTATTGTTAGTATGTTTTAAAGAATAAGCAAATACTTCACAGTAAAATTTTAGGCAAATTTAGTCTTGGTGAATATACTAACCTATATGCTATGCAGATTTCCTTTAACATGTTTGTAATGTACAAATACGTGACAGATTTCTTTTTGTTGTTAACTTGAGACATGATTTTGAAATGCAGTCTGTACCATTTCAGTAATTGCAGTTGGAACAATAGTGGGCCAAGCAACGTTTTGGTTTTGTTGATCCTTAACAACCCAGGAGAAGTACTGCTTTTGGCTGTATACTTCAATACATCTTGAAACTGTCATGAAAGGTGAAGGTAAGTACAAACCTCTTCAGATGCCTCAAGTTGGCTTCTCAGAAAATGGGTCATGTAGTGAACCACTCAACTATTAAAATCTTTTCTAAACGTGTTAAGGAAAACAATTTACTGTTGCTGTCACCTAGTGGAGGCAACTGCTGCTTAGGTGGACTGCTCTAAGCTTTGATGCTGAAGACATCCAATATTAAAAACTAACAGTGGTTTTATGTAGTCTTGTGCATGTGCTCATGCTTGTGTTTTTAGTTCTTCCCTTTATTTTTAAACTCTTTTGCACAAATAGCTCCATTAGCCATCAGATAAAAACCCACCTGATTATACTGCTCAGCACTACATGGACAAAATGTACGACTAAAAGTTACAAGAATTAAAGTCAAACAGCTGTTCAAAGATCTTTTTTTTTCTTTTCTTTTCTGCATTATTTGCCTCATTCTAGATACTAAATAAGATTCAACCTGATGCACTACTAGTCAATTTGTGTAAACTTAAGAGGAAATTGTTTTACTCCTGAGATTTGAGTATTATAGCATAGATAAATAGTTTACACACTCAGACATTAATGCTGAATTTGAGAAGAAATGAGTCACACTCTTAAATCCAAAACTAAGTATTAATGTCATCTGAAAAAATTAAGAATAATTATATATAAAAACTGTAAGCCTCTATCTGCCACTTGACTTATAGAAGTGATTCAGAGGGCTCCAATCTGCTTCAGCTACACAAATCTCCAATAATCTTTGGTGTTCAGAACAGAACTTAATTTGTAATAGATAATTCCAAATTCCAAACTATTATTGTAACTATTGCAATTACATGTCTAGTACTAAGTATGCAAATAGTGACGTGGATTTCTGTAAGTCTCCTTGGATGCTTAAAGTTAGTCATCCACACTAATATTTCTCTTAATTACAGCTGATGGACAGAACATTATGTTGCAATGGCAGAAGATCTTGTTGTATTTTAAGACCTATATATTAAATAATATTAAATAATTGTAACATCTTACCTTATAAACTCAGGCAGATCTTCCAGTTAATCTGAGTTGTTTTAGTCATTGGTGATAGACAGTGACACTTATTTCTACATCTAAAATTATTATTATTATGAATGTATTATTTCGTAACATCGATGATACAACTACTTTCAGTAGAAAGACATTAGTAACTATACCAGGGAATTTGACCTTTCATACAGATTTAATTGTACATTCTTATGAATCTGGAAGAAATATGTCAAAGTTGATGACTCTGATTTTGAGTTAGTTGTATTACAATGCAAGAGCATACCAAACACATCTCATTTGTAGAAAAATTAGTGCAGCCTTTCACAATCTGTTCTCCAGCTCCATTTCTCCTTTTTAATAGAAAAGTGGCTTCTTGTGTAACTTCTTAAAGGGGAAACAATGGATGTGAATGGTTGTTTTGCATGAATTGTATGAGGATCATTACGCTGCAAAAGTCATGCCGTAGAGAACTTATAAATATGTTATAAAACCCTGGCAAATTCAACAAGTCACTGTTTCTTCTTTCCTTTTTTTTTTTTTTTTTTAATATTAAATTCTTCCAGCCACTAGAAGAATATAAAGGTTTTATACAAAAAAATGATGTGTCTTATTTCAGCTCTACTGGCATAGCTGAGTTTTACTTACTATTTTGCTAAAGTAGCAGAGTTTAGAAAATAGAAGATATATGCTTGACTTACTTGTGTAACTCTTCTGGTCTGTATGAAAATGTAGGTCATTTTTGTGTACCGTGATTCCCAGTAATGCGTCTATTTTTCATTTGCCTGCAAATGCTAACATCCCATTATGCCTCTCTCCACCATACATTTGAGATACTTACGTGTCTTTTTTGTGGTAGCATTTACTGTGGCACTAAAGGGACCCGCTCCAGCACTGTTATAAGCACGGACAGCTGTGTAGTATGCCAAGTTGCTCTTCAAACCTGTTATTCTTATTGATGTCTCATTCCCTGCAGCTTTCACTCTGTTTGAAGATTCTTCTTTTCCACCATTATTCCAGTATCTAACCTAGTAGATACAAAACAAAACTATTTAAAATGTTGAATGGAATGGAGTTTTTATCTACAGCATTGCATTTGACTCCTTTAGGTGCATTTTTTTCTCAGCTGAAAAAGGTAGAAATACTTAAAAGTTTCAAAAATATGTAAACAAAATTCTTCTTATCCATCTGCCTTTCACGCTTGCTGCTCTTTTGACTGTAGAAAAAAAGAAACTGAAATATTAAATGTTGCTTGAATTAAAAAATGACAACCAGAAGAAAATCATTACTTCATCTTGAAATAAACAAATTAAACTCAGAAAACTGTATCTTACAAAATAGTTTCTAAAAAATAAATGCAATTCTGAAAAAATGTCAGTTTGAAAATACTGTTAAACACATGACTCATCACAGAAAGCAAAACAATTTCATTCTGTATTCATTTTCAAAGATGCTTAGAAGAAAATATCCTTTTTCTGGGTGAAGGTGGGAGCAGAGAGGCAGCAAGACAGGTGGTAATCTTCTGTAAATAAGCATTAATAGAGTCTAATACTCTAAACAAGTAGCTGTTTGCTCTGATTTTCAATTGCTTTTATGAAAAATAACAAAAACAAAAAAAAAATATTATTTTTTTTAACAGATCCTTGATTTCTGAACAGTGATTGGGCTGAACTCAAGACTTAATATATTTTAAATGAATTTACCTCATAACCCAGTAGCCTTCCACTACTCATCTTCCAGGGAATGGCTGTCCAGGAGACTTCGATGGCTGAGGAGGACAGGCTAGTCGCTGATACGCCAGCAGGAGCTACAGTAGGCTCTGTAATGGGAAATCAAAACATGAGAGATCAGCAACATTGGTAATGGTGCAAATATGTTTACATTCTAGTTAATCTTAGTTGTATCAATTGTTGCTATGTTCTCTGATGAACCAATGCTTGTTAAATAGCTGGAGAGAACCACATACCTTCTTCAGCTGAAAAAACTGTGGTTACTGAACTAAATGGCCCTTCTCCTTTGTTGTTATAGACCCCAACTTTGACTTCATACTGGTGAAAAGGGCAAGATGCTTTCGTTCCTAAAGACGTATCTGGGTGTGTCAGGAGAGGTAACTACAGTCTGTATCCATGTTGTGGTGCCAAAGGGACGGAAAGCGACAACATATCCAAATCCTTCTCCATTTTGTAACTCTTCAGGGATGGGCTGTGAGAAAAGGAAACAGTGACAGAAGTCTGGTCTGTGACGTTAAATACAGCACTGGAAAAGCTTTGCAGGAGGAAAGTGCCACCATGCTAATGCACAAGGTTGTAAACAGGTTCTGGTACTACATATGGGATCATTCCATCAACAAATCAACTCTGGTACAGTAGAGTGAAACACATTCTTTTGAACCTATTGTAATGCTTGCACTTCAGGAGAAGTTCATACATCTCCGGTATATGCCTCGTTTTCCACTAAGTGCTTAGTTTTAAGGCACCATTCAGTAAACACTTATTTTCAATTTCTAGTCAAAATTCATAGTTCAAAAAAATTAACTGCTTAGTCAATTGTTGGAGAATCCAATACTACCTTTGTACAGTGGCTTATACCTTCCCCCAATGTGATTATGATTAAGTAACCACAGGGAGTCATCAATATTAGTACGTAATAGTATGTTAACATCTTTTAACTCATTAGAAATGGGATGTGTAACTTAAAGTAGTAGCTGATTCTTTGCATGGGTTAGCACATGCATTCACAGTTAATGGTAACAAAGCACAGACTGTAAAGTTGCACTGACCAGCACAATGCTTTGGCTCCACCTTTGAGTAACGCCCATTTCCCAGCCCAACAATTGTTTGAGAACAGAAGCAATCACCTTAGACAATAACTAAAGTTCTTACTGATTGCAGACTAGCACAGTAACAAGCAAAGGAGGGAAGGCAAACGTGCATAGCCCACATAGCAGAATGTTACCAAACACATTCCTAGATGAGAAGCTGCTGCAGCCAGGAAAACTCATCTTTTAAGAACAGTTTGAATGAAAACAACCATTCTGTGAAGAAAATTGCTTGCCAGAAAACTTACATCCCATGTTATGACCAGTTCAGACCTGCTGCCGCCTCCCCCACTGACTTCAGATGGGGGAATTTCAGGAACTGTGAAAAAGAAACGTACAGCTGTCTGTGCAGTATAGATAGACGAGGTGACATCTTACAATGTTAACCTCATTCTTTGAAGCTAACCCAGCAGTTTTCCTATTTCTTTTGCAAATCTAGGCAAGTGCTTTTGAACCAGCATGAGCATGTCCTGGAAAGGGCCAGCCCCTTCGTTCAACTGGCTTTTAACCTCCTTTGGGCGGACAGGTATTTTTCTCAATGTTTTTAGAACCTCACTGTATTATATGCCATATCTGCTTTAATGTTTATGAACTTCTGGCATACTTCAGATTTTCAACAGAGTTAACTCATGCAGATGTATCAGGCAATAGCCTTATTCCAAATACCACTGGGAGCTTTAATTGATGTGTTCTGAGCTACATGCTTATTACATGGAAGGTATACACTGACCAAACACTGGGAAGGGGAAAAGTAGTCAAAATTCACCTCTTCCTATCCATTAACATTTTTATATTCTGCAGCACTAACTAAACAGACAGCTTTTTGCATACTAAAAACAGTTGAAATGTATTTAAATGTTATGTGTAATGCAACACAAACTGTCCCACAGCTAAATGGAAAAATCATCAACAAACTAGTTATAGACTTTTATATTTGATAGCAATGCCAAGCCTGTTTGCAGTGAGTCAAGGATATGATTTTTGGGGGGAATATATTTACAATTCTTGAATTAAAAACAAATAAAAGAACCCACTAACCTGCCTCTTCGGTTCTTACTTTTTCTGAGGGTAAACTAGGCTCTCCACCTCCTATTTTGTTACTGGCAACTACACGAAATTCATATTCAACCCAAGGATTTAAATCCACCACCGTAGTTGTGAATGTTTTTCCATCAATCACATCTGGAACTATTAAAAAGAGAAAAAAGAACCATGATGTCCCCTAGTCGAACATATTCCAATAGAACTTGTAACAAGAATTGTGTTTTACCTGTTGTAACTCGCTGCCAGCCAACTGAAAAAGGTGTTCTTGCTTGTACGGTGTATGTGGTTACTGGGCTGTGATTATCTGTGCCTTCTTGCCAGGAGATCTGAGCTGTGGTATCAGTTATTTCATCCACTTTCACATGTTCAGGGGGCCCAGGTGAGCCTAGGATAAGATTGTAAAAGAGAAGGTATTTTGTAAAACCAGTACCCTGAAAATCCCTAAAATCGCAGTATGGATTCCAGTTGTATTGAATACTGTGCAAGGAAGAAAACAATTTAGCTTGGAATAAGAATATATATATATATATATATGTTGTTTTTAACATTCACTAAACTTGCAGCTGATAAAATAATTCTGAAATAGTAACCCTAAACTACTTTACAGGTGACAGGTTTTTGTTTTAGTTCAAGAACCTGTATTCAGCATGATTTCTGTACCTTTCCACGTTGTCTGTCTTTTACTTTGGTCCTTGATACCCTCTTTTAATCTACTATTACATCTCTGTAGTCTGCCAATTTGTTATCTACGGCTGTTTTAGTGTATGATGTGCTGTAGCAATTTTTCAGCAGACCACCTGAGCAGCACCCTAAGCAGCTATTCAGTCAGGCAAGTGTCCTGCTGCATTCTGGAGAAATCCTCATTTTGGACAGCCTAGGGGAAAATGCTGGTTTTGTTTCATCTGCACAAGCAAACAGAGCTGAAGTAACTACAAAAGCAATTATAAAATACATGACATATTTTAAAATACACGGAATAAATGTTGATTGCATAATGCCCATTCCTGGATTACAGATTTTCTCTTGCAATAAATGTAGCTGCATTACCAGCAATGAAAGCTACAGAAAGCTTAGCAGAAAGCATTCCTGCTCTGGAAAAACAAACAACCCTGCATTAGATACTTCAAATTTCAGTGTGTCCCTAGGACAAAGACCTTCCTAGGCTTTGGCAGCAGATGCCCATTTCATGGGAAGGATGCTGGACCATGGAGTCACCAACCCCATTCAGTCATTTAGCAGAGACAGCAACTCACAACCACATCACAGCTGCCAGTGCTGAGTTCCCACTCATCAGTGACTTGAAGGACTGTCAGTGAGAAAATAGACGTCAAAATTTATTATATTCTTCAAATATTAATTTATCTGGGAAAAAAACAAGCTTCATCCCAAACTGAGCTAAAATTCTAACTGCAAGGCAGAATCGTATAATTCAAGTCACAGATGAGTTGGTTTTGTAATCTACATCATCAATGGTTTCTGTAATCTACAATGCACAACAGTAAGAAAATACAATTTACAGTAACCGAAGCCAAAATTTACCTCGTACTATAAGGTCTGCTGCAGATGCTACACTATCCACTTCTGTCTTCACCATACAAACGTATTTTCCACTATGTTTCAGCTGGATGTTTCTAATCATTAAATCTCCTGATGCACTCTGTCAAAATACAAAGGTCTTAATATTAAATCACAAGGTCATTCATTTAAGCTCATATTTTGCAAGTGGAGAAGATATCAACCAAAATAGCTGAAGATAAAGTTGCCCTAAAATGATTAGGCAGAAAATATTTTTGTTTTCATCCTGATTTTTTCAAGAATAATTTATTTTCATGGAGAATGTCATTACTTCAAATAAATCTAACAATATGCAAATCACCTGTGCCATTTTGTCACAAGCATTTCTTTTTGAGCTTGAGTCTAGTTCACTGATGTCAACATCTGTAGTTAAATTGTAGGCTGCGCATTAGTATGTCTCACTCACAAGCTGAAAACAATTCTGCCTGCTTCCCTTCCATGCGTGACAATATAAATACAATGCCAGGTCTTCTACGAAAACAAAGATGTAAGCATTTAGAGGACAATCCAGCACTGATTGCTTACAATACCCTAAAAGTTAAGTTGAAAGCAATCTAAAACCTATCTACTTGATTGGAACTGGATATTCAGGAAATGATCAACAACAGATACAAGCAAATCATGTTCTACATGTACTACATTTAGCAAACCTTATTTAAAATCTAGGCAAAGGGGACTGTCAAATAGAATAATTTTACTAAAATTAAAACAAATAAGAACAGTGAAATATTAACACTGCATTTTAATTATTTATGGATATTTTGGGGAAGCATCCCAAAGTATTGTGGAAAATGGAGAAGTGTGCAGCAGCAAAAAAATACAACGAAGGCACTCTCACCTCTCATGGCTCTGCAGACCATTAGCAGAATCCACATTCTTGCCTAGCCAGATTAAATCTTTGTCAGTGTGGACAAGTCCAGGTGACAGTAAGGTCACCTTCCTTTCTCCATGCTAGATGGAATACAAATAAGAAGAAGCGCACGCGCAGTACCAACACTTGCTAGAATTGCTTTTGCTTTTCCTGACTGCATAACAATGTCAGCCAGTGCCGGGCTGTGCAAGCAGGTGATACCAGGAACTACTTGGGAACCTGCTTGCTTTGCCATCCCCTTTGTATAAATTGTTTGTTTAACAAAGAAGACCAGTACGACAGGGTTACATCCTATATTTTTCTAACCATCTGCAAGACCAGGTGGTGATCCCATAACGTTCCCACTAATAACTACATGTTGTGGACCTCAGGCATGCATACCAGGGACATCCAAGACATCATTACATAGGAATCTATTCACTGAAAAATTATTTTCCTTTTGCCATGTTATCCAACAAAGCTGAGTTACACACAGGTATTTTCATTTAACAAATATGCACTGTGACTTACTTAGGCTTATTTACTTACTGTGATGCTCATGCAACTCAACAAGAAATTACTCCATCACCCTTAGTGGGATCTTGACAAAGTCTACAAAATAGTTTTGTAGTAACATAGCTAGTTTTCTACTCACAAGCCTCAATCCCTTCTTTACGCAAATAGTTTTAGTTTTGTTTTTTAATCTCTTAAATATTCTGTATTTGATAAGAACTCCTCGTTCTGTCCCTTATGACAAACTCCCAAGAAAAACGTTCCAGATTCAGAGGCCTGAGTTAGTCAGTACTCACTCTCAAATTTTCTTCAGGATTGGCTGAGAATTTTCTGTGAAAAACTGATTTTTGATGCTTTTTTTTTTGTTGTTGTTGTTGTGGGAAGGATGTGGGAACGTAAACTTGGCTTTGATTTGGAATGATGTCTGTGTTTGTTTAAAAAAAAAAAGCTGGAATTTTTAGTGAGAATACATATTTCATTTTCCAGTCAGCTTATGAATCCTTAACTGAGCCAATAAAATGGTAAGATTGAGGTTCCTGAATGTTTTTAACCTTTCCTGTCTCGTAGCACTATTTGTATACACGACAAGAGTACAGCTGGGGGGAAATATTACTAAATAAATAAAGGCCATGTAGCAATACTGGAAGGTAACGGGCTATGAAATCTGAGCATTCCCATTACAGCATGACAGATGGTCAGTTTGTAATTCTAGAAACATTTCTATCAAAATGTACATGATATACGAACATCTCATGGCTCTTACAAGGAAATCTCATCATCTCCACATGCAGGTGTGCTTTTATCAATTGCAAGCTGTGGAACAGTCCTGTGTGTTTGGTGCCTACTGATTAAATGCTAAATCTTTTGATGTTTTACAGGCAAAAAAAAAGTTAGGTGCTGAAATTTCAGAGTTTCACAGACAGAAGTGTGTAACCCACAGCTATCCCTATAGAACATAAGATCTGGCAAGACATGAAAAAAAAAAACTTTATGAAGGCTTAAAATGACCAGTTTCATGCTGATGCTCAGCTGCCTGTCTTTTTATTACTTGGCCATGGCTTGCACTGAAATAAGGCCCCTTGCTGTAATTGATTATATCTTTCATCTGTCTTAATGCTTAACTTTTCATATTTTGATTAGAAAGCTACATTCTGAAAAACATTACTGTAACCATTCCCCCACCAGCAGCATTGCTTCATCCTACATTAGAAATACTTAATGAGATCTATGGCCTCCCTCTCTCACTGGGGGAGGCTCAGAGAGAATGGTGAGGAATACGCTAGGGACAGAAGTGTAGAAAAAGTAAGGAAAGATGTGATTTTTTGATTAGGTTTTTGGCTGGAGCTCACAAAATCTGAGTTGAGTTCCTTAATCTGTCATTGCTATGTTTCATGTGATCTTTGGAAAATCATGTAGGGACCGACTCAGATACAGAGGTAGGCACTTACAGTACTTCAGGTCTAAACATTAGGTGTCTGTACAGCAAGTTATGTGCAGCCAGCTAGCTCAATTAGTAATTTCTCTCCAACATAGAAGAATGTTCTACAGGCCCAAAAGAGAAGAACCATCTTATTTTTAAAATAAAATATGTTTTTATGTTGAAAAAAAGAACGTGTGCCTGTTTGTGCTGCACACATCTATAAGGGAGTGAAGAGACAGTTTCGAACTTACCCCTCCAACCTTCTCAAAATGGGAGGCATCTTTTTTGAAGTCGGTGAGCGTCCCATTGAAATACCACGTGAAGCTGATGTCCAGGATAGGATCGTGCTGAACCTGGCAAGGCAAGACAACACTTTCTCCAACAGTGACATCCATGTTTGAAGGTGCCAAAGTAATCCTTGTTGGCTCTGTTGAGAGCAGAAATATCAGTTATTGGATTTCTGCATTACTGAGCTTTGCCTGCTACTAATTCTACCATGTTCTTCAAACCTGATTAATGACTGTCACTTGGAATTATGCAGCTGGACTATAAATGCCACTGACTGACCTCGCTTGTTGTAGCATTGCGTCACTGCACATTTACCAGGTAGATTTTATTTTACCAAGCTAAATGCACTGCAAACCCCAGCAATGAAATTACCATTCAGAAGCATGTGTGGATCTCAGCAATAACCCACAAGTTTTGGAACAGGAAGCTGTAGCAGCAGCCATTGGGAAAATTAAGAGGTGGGAGTGGGAAGAAGAGCTGACAAAACCTAGAAACTAGAGGAAATCTATATAGGGTAGGATTCATTGGATATTTGGGCCCATATATTATATCGAACATAAATACTGTCATTAAGAATAGATGCTTGCAATTCCTGAATCATAATAACGGAAAAATATCAAGTACTGTAAATACTGCAAAAAATAAATTTCATTCCATAAATCCTCTGTACATAATTCTATTATTTGTATATAACAAGGCATGAATCATTTAGAAACAGACTGAAAATCTGTTAATTCACTAAACAGAGTAATTCTGTTTGGATCTATGAGATATATAGGATATGTAATGCAGTAGGATATGAAATAATTTTGCATCTGGAGAATATTTCAGATATTCCAATCTTCAGAAAATAACATCATGAGAAAAGTCAGTCTTCAGCTAAACTTCACAAACCACTTGTCCTTTTAATCCAGTATCTTAGACAGCAGCTAGTAATGGATGGCTTGGAGAAAGGGGCAAGAACCCTTTTAACAGTAATTATATACACAATTAGCTTTTGAAGACTTTTATTTTACTGCCTGTGGAGTCCCTGAACAGTCCTGCAGCTGGAGCTTCTTCCGTATATTTTTCCATAAACAAATAAGTGTATAGTTCCTTAGCACTAAAGAGGTTTTTAGACTAGATTGTATAATGACCTTAAATATTTTTGGTTGGCATGAATTGTCTTTTTTTTTTTTTTTTTTTTTTTAACAAGTTAAGAAGTTAAGAAGTACTTAGTAGTATAATTCCATTGTTTAGTATTTAGAGTGTATTTAGTATTTAGAGTATTTAGTAAAAGAGTGGAGGAAAGCATTCAGAACTTCCTGATCTGAGATTCCAGGGCTAAGAAACATCTCTGCCAAAGAGAGACCATCCCTCAGTCTCTTTCCTGTCAACTGACCAAACATCTATTCTTTTCTTCTTATATATTGTTAAATGCATATCTTCTCACAGTTTACTTTTCAGTGTATTTGTTATTCGTTCAAAGAGGAAACAGCATTCACATCACTGCAGACTTCTGTTGCGAAGTTTGCAGTTCAATGTAAATCATCGTTCAGGTGACTCCCTCCCTGTCCAGCTCACCCACCTGTAACTATCAAGTTTGTCGTCCCACTGGCTGTTCCAAACTGGTTTGCTGCCACACAGGTGTAACTACCAGCGTCAACTTTTGTCACGTTGGCTATTCTCAGTCCTCCATCCTTTAGGAACGTGATTCTGAAAGAGATTTTAAAAGACAAAAGATTTGTAAGTTGCCACATTGGTTTGTAGACACAATGTCTGAACACTCATCCTGTTATGCCAGGTAGATCAAACCGCATCAATTACCAAGCTGGTGTTTGGAAGTTTTGATGCTCTGTTACTGATGGTACGCAACAGAGCTGCACCCCTCCTTCAGTTCCTGTTTTGGGCACCAGGAGAACCAATGCTTAGGATAAGTACTTGTGTACGTACCTGAGAGACCCCACATTAACTTAATCTTTTCCAGCTGTACCAAGTGAAACTGGAATAATTTTCAGCTGCATCATGTTGTTTACAGTCTTGCATGGCAGCTTTGAAGTAACTCTTATCATCATGGTGATGACGCAATAAATTTTTTCATAAGCAATCCACATTTTGCACTTTCCAGTATTCACATGTACAAGCCTCACACAATCCATAGCTCATTTGCACCACTGACTCCTCAGAGCAGGATTGAGCTCATGCAAGTATAAACTTTGGTTTTGTTTAGAAAGCAGGCTCAGACTTCATGCTGTAGCATGTAGCAGTGACCTGCAGACAGAGGTGTGCTTTGTGGGGGGACTTGAGGGAAAAGATTCCCTCCACCCCGAACAAACTCAGGCAGTGAGAATCATGCCCAGTGGACAGATAGCATGGAACAAAACAGAAACACTCCTAAAACTGTAAACCGAAGGACATGTGCATTACTGATATAGACTTTAAGAGCACCAACGTCCCAGTAGTAGAGTTGACATCCCAGACAACAGTGCTGTAAGGACCTAAAGGTAAGGTTAATTTAATTCCCTCTTTCTGGGCCTCCCATCTGTCATATCCTTAGATGCAGGACCTTCCACCAAGCGAGAGATAACCTGGAGCAGCTACACAACCAGCTGTATATAAAAACGTTCAGAATAATTGCAAGAAAAAAAAAAAAGTAAACAACGGTTTCCTGATACACCTGAGCCAAAAGAGCTTCAGAGCTTCTATCTCAAATCACACCAATCCATTTCAAAGGCATCAAATGAATCACGGCAAGGCTATGCTGTCAGGTCCCTAGGCACCTTAGCTAGCAGGCATTTTGGAAACGTCCCAAACACCCCACGTCTAGCTAAACAGAATCAACAGAACAGCAAACAACGTTAATACTCGAGGCAAACCTCTAACCGCATTAGTTGGAGAGTCTTACACAGTTGTCAGAATGAGTATAATCGGAGCAGGCGGCAAACGCCATGGAACTTCACATTGCTGTCTTCCCTCTTCAGAAGAGTCATGTGGATTTTTCGTCTTCTCACTTGCATGTACTTCATTATTAACCTGCTGCTTTATTCAGTACAGAATTAAATACACACCCCTGCTGCTTTATTTTTAGTATACGTGAGGCAAATTTGTATCAATAATTTGTCCCAATTGAGATTCAGTCCTCTCCACTTAAATACATATTACAAGAAGTAGCTAAGAAGGCTGCTGTGTTTAGCTGGGAACTGGGAGCCCTGCCTTTCTTCTTGAAACCTGTCCCAAGCCTGGGCTAAGCAGGATGCCCGTTTGAAGCTATGAGTTCCCTGCTCTTCTGTCACTCACATGCTGCACCTCCCAGCTCAGCATGAGCAGTGCTGCATGAACCTGCCTGTGCTGTGCCAGCTGATGAAGGGTAACGCGAGCAGGGAAGTGCAGCACTGGCTGCAGGGCAAGACTGGGAAGACTTTCTGGACTGAAATTATGATTGCAAGGAAGCTACTTAGTTTTTGGACTTTCTAGCTACCTGTATATCCTGCAAGGGCTTGTATTGTATCATCTACTTTGAAACAGTTTCCAGCAGAAAAAAATCTAAAAACAAATAAAAAAAACAACAGGGTTGACAATGCCTTAGATCAAACAAACTAAAAATAGAGTATGGGTATAAAATAGAAAATGCCTATTGTTTAATTAAAGCAAAGCACATTCGGAGTGCTCTGAGCTATCTTCAAGCCTAGCTTGTCTAAAGTAACGAAGCAATAGGCTTATTAAAACCAAGACAGAGTTAAGAATCAAGTTTTTTGTTTTCAGAGTTATAAACAAACAAAAAACCCCAACAAATCAATTCAAGAAAAATTTTATAATCAAAACAAAATCTTTACCGGTGAATTGGAAAGAGCAACTCTTTACTTTTTCGAATAGAAAGCAGTACATGCAGCGCAGCTTATGAAAACACAAACCCCAGAAATAGCTCTACCCCTTCCTGCTGGAGCATTAGAGAAACTGAAGCTTTTAGTACACTTAAAATTATTAGATATTCACACGCTGTTACAAAACAAACAGACTGCGGCTGGCCTGCTGCCAGGAAGCGATCTAGATTTCTAACACAGAAAAATAATACACACTTTAGTGTTCCCTGTATCTACAAGAGTTTTTCCAATACATTTTGCTAAAGGCCAGCAATTTTCAAAGTGAATTTCATGACCTGCATATTTGCGATGCACTGGCAAACAGCAGAAACTTTTAGCCCTGTAAAATGAAGATAATTGGCTGAATAATGCTTTGGCATATGTGTTAGCACAACTGGAGACTGATTTAGGACCTATCTGCTCCTCAGATCAAAACATGATTGACAAAAATGAAATCATTCTCTTGAGCAAACCTGTGGGAAATCAGTCTTTGAGAAGACTTTTTTCTCCAACAGTCAAATGAATGGCATAAAAAATACCCACAACAGCTGCATGTCTTAACTCAGGTCCACTCTTTTATGCTCCTTGACTGAGGTCAAAAGAACGGGAGGGGGATTAGCCAGTTTTAGGACTCTGCAGTTCCTGACTTGAGAGGCAAAACTAGGAGAGCTTTCCTGTCCCCTCTAAACTAGGAAGGTGTATTTGGCATTACAGGCCTTCCAAACAGTTGAGGGACTTCAGTGAGGTTACAGTCTCTGTTAATTCCACCCAGTATGTAGGTGTGTTTTACTCCCCAGATTATCACTTGGTATCAGTTACGTTAGTCACAACTGACCATGACCATGATCCAACTGTGGAACAAGCACACACACTTCTAATACTGATAAATTATTTTACTATTGTTACGGACTGCACCTTATTTTCAATATTTTCACATACTGAGACAAATCTCATCTGGGATTAGAGGGCAAGCGATGCTCCAGGAAGCCAATCTGAAATCTGTTGACCCCACTGTCTGTCTGTAAGAGCATTCCAGCTATTCCACGTTCATGTCCCCATATTTGCTTGCTTAGAGAACTGTGACATCATTATCTAGAGCCTTACATATTTTTACCTTACTCATCAAAGCCCATTAAATGGTAGTGTTGGTGCAGTACAACCACACACACTGCTGAGGGCCAGCACAAGCCTCAGGATCCAGGATCCCAGCTCTTCTGAGTCAAGGCTGCCACCTGAAATTTGGTGTCATTAATGCAACTGTTAACTAATGGAAATCTTCTCATCTTCCCATGAGAATACTTTATTGCTAAAATAACAGATATAGCTAAACTAAATAATCACTGCCTTATATTTGTCAGATTATTCATCAGAAAAGCCAAGTATTTTAGACCTTCATTAATCTGATACCAAACATAAATGTATTACTTTCCAGTTCGTAACTCTTCAGTACAAAGGATCAGTAAAAAAGTGGGTCAAAACTGCTTTTTATATATCGAGCAAATTCCAACTAAATTAAACCAGATTACTTTACAAGAAAGCCAGCCAAAATAAGCTCTTACTGAAGTGCTGGTAAGTAAATGTGTTGCTTTCCAGATCACAGCGTTTTAGACTGGAACGCAAAATGAAGTAAAAATACTTAATTCAAACTGCAGAGATGATAAAACCAGTAACTGATCCTTATAAGACTTATGCAACATCTTATCAGGAGCAATTCCTCTTCTTTTCTTTCCCCCTTAATTTGACATCATTTTGCTGTAGTTAAAGATGCTAAAACTAAAAGTTATTTTGAGAGACTTGCACTGCAATGCTTCTTAGTGAAGTTAAAGTTTGCAGTATCTTTTCATCTTTTTTTTTTTTTTTTTCTCTTGGTAAATTTAGAAAGATCTAGGAATAAAGTTAGACTTGTTTACATGTGAAATACTGCATTGCATCATCTCACAATCTTAATCTTCCTCCAGCCAGATATTAAAACATAATATAAATATCTTTAAAGAAATCTTTAAATGGGTTATTTATCTAGGACCTAGCATATTTTAGTGCCTTACGTTTTTGATGGAGATGCAAATTAAACATCAAGTGCAGTTAACCTCTGTTAAAACATCTAATACTCATTTTTTGGAGGATACAAGAAAAATAAAAGCCCATCCATCAGGAGATGGGGTGTCTTAGGCCAACTTTCAACAGAGAAGGTGGCAAGTCTGTCCCCCTAGAGACCTTGGGGGCTGTGTCTATCATCAGAAGAATCCACCCCAGAATTATTTACAGTAAAAACCACCAGGTTTAATGACTGCAGATATAATATACTTTACAGAAAAAAAATAAAGGCCGTATTATATGAGCTGGTTGGGAAGGAACAGCCTAAGTAAATACAAGTGGCTCCTAGTATGGCAATACACACAATAACCATTAATACGGGGTAAAAATTGACCTGTGCCAGATAATCACAGAATCCTAAACTCAGTACCTGATTTGGAATCATTGAAGACAAGAAAATTATTGCTAATTCTTGATAATCATGCTCATTACATCCAAAATGATTTATTTCAGTGGTTCAAAACTATTTTGGAGAGAAGTATTTCTTGCTTTAGTACCCAATTCATTTAATTCCTGTTTTTTGCCTTTACTTCTGCATATTCTACACTGATCCATGCACATTAATGCTGTCTACATTCCGCTGTTCTTCATTGTCTAGCTTTCTTTATTCAAGATATTCTAAAAAAAAGTCACATATTTTGCAAAACTAACAAGAAGCAAGATTGTATTCTTTATGTTGAGCTATTTCTCAGTCCAGAGGCTCACAAATCCATTTTGACTTATATCTTCTCCTCTTCACAAGATATATGAGATTCAGCTCATTTAATTAAAATTTACTGAGTCATTATCCAAATCTTCTACATACCAAAAACGCAGTATCATTTAAAAATAAATTAAAAATACAAGCAACAGTGCCATCAAAATGAAGATTTTTCAGGCTTTACAAAAGTAATGTGCTCAGTATCCCCAGTGAAACGTAACATCCCGTACAACAAATACTAAGGCCCATTACACCACAAGCAAACCCACCAAGCCAGCAAGAATAGAGTTTTAACTGCTCAAGGACAAACGGACTGGGGAACTATAAATGTACGTATCTACTCGGGATACACGGCAAGAGCTGTTCCCTTGCAGGAGCCAACTTCCAGGAAGGAAGCAACTTCCCTGCTGCGCTCTTAAGACTGTGAATTATTCTCTGCTTGCTCTCTACTTGCAAATGGGAATTGTAAAGTGAGGGGAAATCCTTTCCCTCAATCTCTTTCTCAAGGAGTGCTCTATGAGAGAGCCTGAATGCTACTGTAGGTCTGAGGTCCAAATGCACTTAAGCTTGTTCTGCCTCTCCCAGGTAAAGAGCATGCTGGTCCTGTGTGCCCTGCATTATCCCTTCTGGGAACTCACCGATCCCTTTCTCTGCAATTAAAAAAAGGCACTCTCTGCCCCAACACACCCCCAATACAGACTTCTCCCTTAGAAATTTAGTTAATGGTTGAAAAATGTACTGCTAATTGGAAACCCATTCCTGAATTGGAAGAATTGTAGAACTGCAAGGAATTAATGAATTGTAATTATCCATAGCAGACAGTAATGAACTACAGGGCTTTCTGCAAAGAATCACATTTCTCCTTTTTCTCTGAAGGAAAGTGGACTCCATTTAGATTAATTCAGGAGTACTGGCTTGTTATTATGTTCCCTCCGTAAGCCATTTATAGTGTGTTATCAAAAATACAGTGGGAAACACTTTGGGACATATTTTGGAAATATCTGCACTTTGCAGAACTAAAAGCCCTAATTTGTGTTTTCAAGCAAATGCGTAAATGTAAGCAGGCAGCATTATGTGTGCTCAAAGCATTTTCTGAAACTGAACATTACTTGCTTTTGCCTGCTGCCATCACCATGACTGAAATCAGGGGGTACAGCTTTTGAAGGGCAATTCAAAGCAACCTTTAAGACCAGATCCGGTGTCTGTTCAGACAGAAAGCTGACAAATCACCCCAACCTTACACCCACCTTTACACAGTGATACTTGTATCACTTTCCTAAGTGTGCACAGTTAATTTACTATACTTGTATAGAAGCGGTTTTCTTTCCAAAGTGTATGTGTACAGGATGTTACACTTCTGTACACAGGTTAGACATCGCTAATCTGTCACCATTCAGCTCAGTTGTTTGGGTTCATTAGGTCCCTCTTGCAATTACATAGCAAACCTTGCATATTTTCATATATATTTAAAATATACCTATAACTTTGAGTCATCTCTGTAATAACTTTCCCCAGAAAAGCAAACACAGTAGCAGAACAGCAAAAATCGTAATACTAGAATGGTAAGAGTGCTATTCTAGACCTCCCAATTATTAATTTTTGCCAACTGGAAATTTATTTCTTTTTTTCTTGCTGTTTCCTGGCCACATTATCATCGTGGCTGTAATATGCCTCATCCGTCTCCCTGCCAGTGTTTTCAGAGAATTTTGCTGAAGGCTTTTAGCACTGTTTTATAGGCTTTGCCTTTCCAGATTTTCTGTCAGTACCTGATTTTCTCAAAATGAGGCCAAACCTTACATTACACTGAAATTAAAAGCTGGCCCTTGACCTTAAAGCCATATACATGCTCTCTGTGCTCAGACATAATGACAATTAAAAAAACAACAAAGCTCCCCCAGCTTGGCAGATTCCAGAGAGGCTTCACAACTATTTGGATCTACAGATGATGTTATTGCATAAAAAGACATTAAAAACACTATTTGTAAGCTTAAAACAAATAAACCAATATAGACTTAATACCTTTCATTTTCGTGTAGCTGCTCACCTCCCTTCTTCCAGGAACATTTGGCCTTAGGGGAAGCTTTTGGTCTGCATTCAAAATCAACCGTGCTGCCTATTTGAACCTGAATCATTTTCTTCATTGGATTCTTGGAAAAATCTGGAGCAGAAGCTAAAACAAAAGGGATACTAACAGTGAAATAAAGCATTTTGAATTATATTAATGACATTACTATTTAGCACTTACATGACACTTCACAACTTCCAAACATAATTAAAAACATGAATGATTTAGATAATTCAAACACATCTTCTGTTGGGCAATTACTCGTTTCTCCTCCTTACACTGGTACAAAAAGTAAAGGTTTCCATTTTGCAAAGTATGTCACCTAATGAAGCACGCACGTAAGATCATACTGACTTTATTTGATCTGAAGCTCACTGAACCCAACGAGCTTCAAGCACATGCCTAACTTTATGCTTTGCTGAACTTGAGCTTACATGACTTGTCTAAGTCCAGTGAGGGCAGTCAACACCATTAAAACTCATTAAAACTCATTTAAACTCAAGGAATTGTGTGGCTTCTATTTTCATGTCAGAGTACAATGCCACATCAGGTACGTTAAATGACACAAAACTACAGCACAGCTCCTTCTGTATTGCGTGTAGCTGATATTAGCTAGCAGTTAAGAAAAGGCACATGGCTTCTATCTATGTCAACAGTGAACTTTGGAAGGAAATTCAGTATTTTAGGAGAACGAGATTGAGCGAGCAGTCTGCTGATTGAGTGTAACCTTATACAATATAAAGGAAATAACTCATGCCCCGAAACACACTCCTCTTACAGGCTTAGTTTTGATATCAATCTTCCTATGTTGGAAGCAGAAATTGCACAAACATATCAATGCATATGGCATTCTGCAAGTTCACCATTTCCCTCAAATAAATGGTTGTCATTTATTCTAGACTCCAGCACGCATCATTTGAATGACTGAATGACAATTCTTTGTCCCCTCGATCAAGAACGGCTGCACACAAGAGCAGCCTATTGCTTTTAAATGACATTGCTCCCCTGGGAACGCTGGAGCCACGCTGCAGAAGGTCAGTGCAGCTGAGTGATGTGCTGAGCCAGTGCTGATTCCAGACCCTGTGAGAGGTTTTAATCTCCAGGCCTGTGTCCAAGCCCCTGTGTCTGCTTTTCCCCTAATTAATAATGTATCTGTGTTCTGTTCTAAAGCAATGAACGACTGGACTGCAAATCCTCTGGAAATAGATGAATAAAGTCCTCGGCACTGCAGATAAAAAGATATTAGGCTGCCAAAACTGTTTATTTCAGTCACAGCAACTGAGTGAGTTATAAAGTAGAAATAATTACGAGGTGGAGTAGTGGATGGGGTGTAGAGAGGGAGAATGAGGTCTTTGTTTTAGTAGAAAGGAAAATCTTACCTACAACCCTGAGCTCTGCACTCGAAGAGATGACACCATGTTTATTTTCAGCTATGCATTGGTATCTGCCAGAATCTGTCAGATTTAGATTTGATATTGTAAGTGCACCATTTTCAATTTGGATCCTTCCCTGAATATTAAGAAAAATACCTTTATTGATGATATATTTCCTGTGAAAAATTTAAAATAAGTAAGAAATATGAATAGGACAGCATAAATATGATAAATGGGGTAGATGTAACAGCATATATGTGAGAACAGTTCCAAAATAATTGATATGACCATATCATGGAATGGCAGCGCTGAGATTTAGCAATGCAGCGTATAAAATCAATTCTTCAAATTTGCTTGGTTTCACAGAGGCTTTTTAGCCTCAAATACCCTCATATTTCCCCAGAAATGTGGACAAAATCCTACTAAGCACCTCACAGCAGACTAGAGTATCCAAAATATACAGATGGCACTGGCATTTCATACTATTTAGAGATTTCACACTTGCCATTTGTTAATGAGCTCTCTGTAATACTATGCAGAAAAAATTCCAACAGTCATTAAAAGGAAGATGCATTTCAGTGCCTCAGAGCTGACAAAGCTACTGAAGTATAGGGTGCTTCTCACCTCGATACTTCTTGGAAAACTGTATGAATTATGGTAAGAAGTGACTGCTTTGAAGGATGGAGTGATAGGAGCTGGTGACAAAAGGAACCAATGACAAAGACAAAACTAAAAGAGCTTCTCCTCTGGGGAAAGACAGAGAAACAATAATAAACAGAGGGACAAACTGCATTCTTAAAAACATTTTCTGCTTTTTTTTTTTTTTTTTTTTGAGCAGAAGAGCCTAACAAACGCCTCAGATATGGCTCCCTAGGCCTAATGCAGCAGTACTCCCTCTTTGCCCTTTCTGCTAAGGGCTGCTTACAGCTGGCCCCACTGAAGGGTGACTCTGTTTAAGGCAGCTCAGCTCAGCTCCTTCCCTTCCTAACAGGTCCCAGTTAACTGCAAGGTGCTCAAGGCAGTTAGACAAAGAACAAAACAGGCCCTAAAAGGAACGGGCCTGAATCTCCACATCTTGATTCTATTTCTAGCATCCTGAGCTGCTCTTATTCTTCCTTACGTCAGATTCATTTATGGGGAAGAGGAGCTTAGTGGAACAACCCCAGCAGGAAACTTTTGTGGAGCAGACCCAGCATGAAGGAGGATTATTGCAGTAAAGGAGCCGAAGACAATTCATGATACACAAAGAGCTCCTCTTCTGCTGCCTCCTCAGTGCCGGCTTTTAATGAGTTAGTCCTACAGCGTACAGCCCTTAAGCGTTTCCAGAGCCATGCTTATTCCCTTACATCATGCCTCAAGGCTCGACACCAATGCTCCATGGTGGAGAACTGCAAAATCTGAATGAGAGAAGGTATTTTTTGTACTTACTGGTAAGGTAAAATAGTGCGTTACCTCAGTGACTTTGTGTAATACAGTAACAGCGCTCTTAAATCACCGAGATATTTTGTACTCCCTCCCTGAACCTGTCCGTGAAACACTACCAATCCTTTTAGTGAGCATATAACTATAACAGTCTGAATGGTAAGAATTGTTTTTCAGTGCTTAGATCATTTTTCATAGCCATCCACTGCATTCACTTGAGCAGTCCTTCTTCAACTGTGGGTGCCAACATTGAGCACAACATTCAAGTACTCTTGACAGCACTGGCTAAGGGCAAAATGCCTTCCTACGATGGCCTACTGCCCCTGGTTTATATTCCTGATAAGCTGAATTCTGTGGTTTCCTCAATGCAGCAGTGAGAACTAAAATCAATAGGGGTATCAGATGCTTTTCTGCACTCCTGATCTGGCACACATCCTCAGTACATTTTTTCCTTGTCACCAAAAGGATTACCTTCCACTAGGTTAACAACTGTATTACAGCAAAGAATTATGTTACATTGCTATTTACATTTCAAACTTTGCATCAAACACTGGTGACCTGTGTTTTTTTACAATTTTTGTCTTCTCAATTTTTTGTCTTCTTCAAGAAGTTTGAAAATCTTTTCTTATCACCTTTAATGAAATTAAAATGGCAAGTATAACAAAATAATTTAAGTTCTCCATCCCTTATTTATGGTTGTTAATGTATAACTTTAATTAACTTCTTTCTCGAGTCCTTCTTTATGTAATTATTTCTCTGGTTCTACCATTGTTTTTAAACCTCTTTTAGGATATTTTTGTATAATATAATTTGTCTTTGTGTTTCTGGCGTATCAGCTTTTGAAGTTTCCAACTGGATGCTCTTGACAAACAAACATGAAAATTATATAAAAATATTTATCTGGACATAAATACACGGACTTTTGTGAATTCTCATTGTTATATGAGGTACTGCTACTTTTGCATATCGCTGTGTTTTTCAGAAGTGAATGTTACCTCTATTGACAGCTGCTCTCCATTCTTCAGCCACCTATACGATGGTTTGGGCTTCCCACTGGCTCTGCAATCCCAGTATAACGTGTCCTCTACAGCAACTTCGGTATCTTTTATTGTCTGGATCCAGTGAGGTTTTGCTGCAGATGAAATACATATCAACAACCCTAACTAGTTACTGTACCACCAGAGATTCTCACTGGTTCTGCTTCAAGTCACCTAATGAAAGAAATTACTCACTGTTCCTTCTAAACATCTTTACTGCGAGTAGTAAAACAAAAGAAAATTGAGATTATAGATCACTAAAGCTGAATCAGTCAAACTGATATTAAAATCACTAATGATTAAATAACACAACTTTAAAATTGAGGTAAACGTAAGAAAAAGAAATTAGCAGCAATATTGGAATTAAATAATTGATGTAGCCAAATCATCAAATTAATATTGAAAAGAATCTGTTAAGTCCTAAAAAATGTAATGGTATGTCAGTCTTAATTTCAAATACCATTTGAATTGTTTTCAGTACTAACATCCATCTCTATGGGTGAAAACAAAGATACAAGACTGGTTTTGATAGCAGTAGACATAACAGAGCGTTTGGGTGATGAAAGCCAGAAAAAGTCCTCAGCAAAGTCTACAAAAATTTGAACATTTTGATTTATTAAAACTATACATCCTTCAGAATTAACTAACACACAATCAAAAGTGTAAAAGTATAGTTTAAAATGCTACAGCTTTCATGGGGATAAAAAAAAACACAAAAAGCTTACTTGGAAAAAAAAACACTCATTCATAAAAGGCAACAGGAGTTTATTCCTTTGGTGCTATTTCACAGAATAGCACATAATTGTCTTATAGCTAACCGGTGTGAATTTTCTTTGATTGTATTCAAATTAATAGAAAGTTTATGATGTCAATATATAAGCTATGTCTCCTAGATAAGATAATTTTGAACATGGCATAAAAGAAAGACTAAAAATAGAATGAAACTTGGGTTGCAAAAATGTAATTACAGGCTATGGAATTTTCTAGACCCAATTTGACTACTTTAAAGATTTTCCTAAAATGATCCTTTTTCATATAAAAATAAATAAATACTGAAGCTAAACTTTCTAAACTAGTATCATTCGTATTTGTACTATATGTTTGTCTGATTAAACTTAAGATGACTGATGAAAAGCAATTTAGAACTAGGATATGAATCAGAAGCACTTTTTAAAAAAATATCTAAAACCAAAGAAAGATGAAGTAAGACATTTCAGGAAGTAATAAATACTATATATTTATATAACAATAATATTTACAAATCAAAAGACACATTTCTGAAAGCTTCTAGTTGATCTATGACCAAAAAGGTAAGTTTTAGAGTTCCTTGCTCTACTAAAAATCTGCACTGAATGAGGATGTATCTTTAGACATCTCAGAGTACTTGATACCTCACGAGTAACGTTGACATTGATGATCTAGCAGGACAGTGCTGTACATTGACAACTATATACTTTAGTTTCTGGATAATCTGGACACATTACATTGAAGTCTATACTTTTTTCCCATATAAAAAGCAAAAGCTATATAATGTACATGAGACACAGCCACGTAGATAAATGTTTAGAAGATTTTCTTTTAGCAAGACTTTGGCTACTAAATAGCATCAGCTTCTAAAACACAACGGACATTTGAAATTTAATCCTTTATTTCCTTAACTACAGGCTCCTATCACTCTCATACCAAAACAAATAGAAAGAAAAAAAAAAGGAAAATACCATTATTTTATAGATGACTTTTGGAAGCACATAAGGTCAGATTAATTCCTGCTGAACTTCTCACTACAATAGCATTATACCAGCAATTAATTCAGACCAGGAAAATTAATGACTTGCCTATGGTCAGAAGGGAAGTCTGCAGCACAGCTGGGAGCTGAACCTATTCCATTGCCAAAGGCACGAGACCAGCAGACCAACATTTGGATGAGGGCTAGTATTCGTTTTGTTAAAAGATTCATTCCTTTCTAGCACATAAATTCTCTCTCCATCTTATGTTCTGAAATGCAGCGATAAGATCTCACCACGATCACATACTGCACCATACTTTTAGGATAACAAGGATTAATTCTGTTTATGATTTATGTGTAAATATTCAGGATTAACTTCTCATAGGAAGAATTTACTAGAACGTATTCATTTAGATATTAACTTAGGAGGGCTTGGAATTCAACCAGTATTTGCTGACAGTGGAACCTGCTGTTATTTCTTTTGTTTTGCATGTCTCTTATACCACATGAGGATTAATGCCTTTTACTAATTTGGGGATCATATATTTTTTTACACTCTTTTTATCAAGGTTAGCTCTGAAAGACAGGATAACCTACCTAATCTTTGCGTCAAACAGATGTATTATCTTACTGATATTAATGTTGGTTAAATACCGAAAGCTAACGTTCCTACACTGGAGTTCAAGAAAGAGCCATTGCTTTGTCTCATGTTGTCATTTGGAGTATTTGTCCCACATGTGTCAAGGGGCTGAAAGCTCAGTCCTCCATGTCAGCACGCTTCCTGCACTTTCCATACCTAAATATTTATGCAACAAGCAACAGTCCGTGAATTATTGATGGATCCATACATGTGCAATATTTCACATCTGCTGCATATCTTCACTTGAAAGTAGGTTAACTGTGGTCTATTTTCAAGTTCAAGATCTTGGATTCAATTTCATTACAGAGAAAAACACCGACTTCACTGGAAATCTTCATTTTAGGACTCTTGATGTCAGGCAGTCTCCATAGAAGGCTTTTCCCAAGTCTCCAGGGCATATATGACAAACTTATCTGAAAGTGTGGGAGCAAGACCACCACTCAGAAGAGAAACAAACAGAACAGAGCTTCCAAAGCCCCAGTGTGTGGCTTTTCACAGTGTGTGAAATTCATGGTGCTTGAGCATTTGCAAGAGAGTGTTGATGTAGACTTCAGTGATTTTCTTGACGGATGCTCTTTGTCTCTTCCAATTACTGGCCAAGGAATCCAGCAGAAAGAAAAATACTCTTTTCAATCTTCCACATCTAAAAAGTCTCTAACGATGAGTGTAGAAAATATCGGAAATTCTTTGAGAAAAAAAATCATTCAACTAAACAGTTCAAAATTGAATAGATGGCTTAAGCAGGGCAATCACAGATGAGACTATTCCACAAAATACTCTGAATCTTGGCAAAAGTAAGGATGTCCATATTGCAGCAACTGAGAAAAGTGCAGACAGAAGGTCATGTATTGGTAGATCTACGTATCCCCTCAAAAGAAAAAAAAACATCACTTTCCAAGCCCAGCACTACCCTTTTTATTGAGCTCTGCCCAACTGTACCTTAATGATTCTGAAGAAACAACCGCATTCCTCTTGAAGTCTACTCACTGGTAGGCAAATGTTACCTGCTTAGAACATCTGCTTTCAGTCTGGAGACAAAACCACCATATCTGTGCTCCTGAATTAAGTCTGTAATGACTTGTTAAAAAAAAAAACAAAAACTCTTTCTGGACACACCACTTCTTCCTCCTTCAGCAGGGAACAGGCAAACAGACAACACATTTCCATTGAGATGAAAAAAAATACAATGGCCTGTAAGTTGTGAGGTTGGAAGTGAATTTTAATGGAGTTTGTAGCACAGGGTTTGTGACCATGATAGGAATCTGTAATTGTGTGATAATACTTGCAATTCTCAGGAACTTGCAGTACAATCTTCACAAAACATTCATAAGAGGTTCCCCTTAGGACAAAATACTTGTAGGTAACTGATTTTCTAAAAAACATAGCCATCAGCCTCACAGTTAGTTACTTGTAAAAGCATCAGCCTACATTATACTTCATTTGTTATTGCCTTATATATTCCTTGTAATACTCATAGTCGCACAGGCAAAAATGACACATGTGTGTTAAAATAACATTTAGCCTGGTGAGAAGACTCAGTTATCTTTTTCTTATTGACTATGACCACCTTTTGCTTCCAGCTAACAGGCCAGGCTGGTCATCCTGAAGAGAACAACTGTGACTTCACTACACCAGGGGAATCCCTGTTGGCCATAAGGGGAAAAAGATCCACCATGTTAGCTTTTTAAGAGACCTCTTTGCAATGACTGTTCTGGGGTTTGGTGAGAGCGAAGACCAACTGCAAGGAGTGACTGTGCCGAGGCTCCTGGAAGCAGTGGCTGAAGAAGCTGACATTTTCCAGACACTGTGTTGAGACCTAATTTATAAATAATTTGTGGGGTACCTTTCAGCCTCCGCAACAGCAATGATGCATGTTAACAGGAAACTTTACATCTGATTGCCTTCCGAGTCAGAGGCTCCAATAAAAATATCATTTTAAATTCTGTAAACCATAGGAAAAATATGCAGGAAAGGCAGAGCTTCAGGACCATGACTTCTGTTCAGACACACTGTGCTCTCCCAGAGAGCACTGAGGTCTGCCTTACCTCTGCTCAGAGGCAGAAGACCACGGGATGCTCTTCCAGAACAGTCCCTAATTGGAGCTCACACATAAGATGCAGCCTGCTTATACACCACATCCTTACTTTGAAATTTACAGTCTGAAAGCTGGGCTGGAAATCTCTTTTGAAAATACCTTTGTATAGCTCAGCAGTCAGGCAATAAATCAGAGTCAAAAGGCACTTTCCATAGTTCAAGAGAAAGCGGCTATGAAGCATACTGGGAATTCACAAAGTTTTGTAAAAACAGAAAATGTAACCTTCATTTTCCAAGGTAATATCTCTCTGAAAGTCAGACTACGACACTCATACTGATGCCTACAGCAGTGATGAGCCTACTTTTATCTAAAAAATTCAAGTGACTTTAAGCACAGATACCTCTTTCTGATAAAACAATGGGGCCTAAAGAAGCATGTAATAACTTCAATCCAAAGGTCCCCGAAAATGTCATTTTTTTCCACTTCCATTCCAAAATAAAAATGCTCTGAAGCAACAAGCAATTGCTACATCATTGGGAAAAGTCTTAGTATATAAAAAATATGGGCAATTAAATTGGACAGTGATCAACCTGAAGTTTACTTGTCAAAAATGTCAGCAACTTCTTGACAGTATTCAGCTCTTTACAGTTTCGTAGCTAATGTTTTGAAGACCTTTCCATGAACAAGATGGGGTCAGGCTATCAGACAAAAGCTTTGAACAGTGAGGCTCTTCCACATTCAGGAGTAATGTGTTTCAGTATAATTTTAGTGGTACATTATTACCAAATGGTATATCTATAATGTATTTTATACAGAGTCTATTTCTTACTGAGGGTCTGTATGTTCACAAAATGGAAATTCTGCCCCCTGACATCCCTTCATGCCTTAGCTAAGCACACAGAAACAGCAGCTGTTACAAGCAAGTGGAAGCGACCTTGCTGCCTGACTTTGACCATTGGCATCCTGGTGAGCACAACAACTCACCTTTGCTATTAAAAAACACTTATGCAGAGCAAAAGCAAAACAGCAGATACTTTTTCTCCCGATAAAACATTTTACGTTAGTACTGACTGTCAAGCATGAGTTCTGTTGAATCACCCTGTGCTAATTTAGAGAGTATTTTCTTCAATTATACTTAAAATTAACAGCTGTACATAACTCTACCATGTTGCATGTTGTTTAACTGCACCTTAAAAATGTAATGAATTTCTTCCTATTTTTCCATGCTATGAAAAGTCACGGATTCTTTCTTCCATTATCTCTTTCTGGAAAGGGGTAATAGCAAAGATAAGTGAATATACTACTAAAGTGAAAGCAAATTATTTATATATTCAGGTTTTATATTAAATCAAAGTTAGATAATCTCATCCTATATTTAGCACATGTTGAACTCCACTGGGGAGAAAAATATCATTAAACACAAGTTGGAACTGTACAGAGCACAATGAACCAAACATTTGATGTTGGGCTTTTCTTGATATATTCCTTCACAAGGAAAAAGGAAGATTAATAGTCTGTTAGTAATGTTATGAAAGAACCCATAATATCTGTTTAGGAATATCTATGTTAATTATCAATTTCAACTATGTCTTCAGAGGTATATTTAAAATGAAATTCGAAATGAAATTCGAAAAAATGGACCCATTTCATTTTTTATGAAGAGAGTTATGGAGGTCCACAGGATTTCTAAACCCGAACATATTTATAATCCTTCTTGACATAATGACAAGAGGCATGACTGAAGTTGAGCCCATGTTAAAGTGCTTTATGATTTCAATACCATGATTCATTACTGGAAGAAGAGTAAACAATTGAATTATTTTTTTTTTTAATCAAACAACTTATGCATTAAAACCCCAAGTGTCAGAATTCAAGATTTACAGTTTCAGACATTTCCTAGCAAAGAAACAAAATATTTAAAGCTTTTTCTTAGTATTATGTTTATGTTTCACTTACAAATAATTTTAAAAACCTGCAAAGAAAGGAAAATTGCCTATTTTCAGTTGAATGACGCATTTTTGCCCATTTTTTTTCCCTTAAGAGATGTATTTTACACATTGTTTCACTAAGACAACATGGAGAATAACCCCAGCTGTTCTTAAACTTTTTTGGATAGGACAGAAACCTCTTTTTGTTCTGCCAAGGATAGAAAAATAAATGCTGCCACTGCTGAAATAAAAAGGCATTTCTAATGCTTATATTTTTCTATATATAATTATCAGATCCATCCTAGACTTCCACCAAAATAATTTCTAGACAGCAACCAGTATCCACTAACATTGCCACACAGATTTGAGGCATCTTTGCCAGGGCTGGTGCTTTATGGCAGATGGATGATTTTTATTCTAAGTCTTCAGTATACTGCATTAATTTTCCCCCAAATCCTCATCTGCTTTCAGAACAAGTTCCTTAAAAGTGCATAAATATTGATCTTCTATTGGAAGACTAACTGGCATACGATTATGTTTCTTTACCAGACAGATTTCTGAGCTCTGATATCAGACATAGCGGCAAACCATCAGAAAGTATAACCTTCAGTTATAGAACACTATTCCTTTTCACACGGAACAAAACCCCTAATTATCAGAAAGGTTTAAAATTACCCTATCCTGACAACAGACTTGTTGGTATTCTGTTTGTAAAAATGAAAGCAAGTAATAAAATATGAAAAAAAAACCTCAAATCTACTTAATTCTGCAGAATGGGTTTCATTAAGCAAAACAAATGAAATAAAACAGTTGGAGTACCATTAATGCCATTACAAGTCTCATTATTCTCTTCAGTCTAAACACCCATATTAGGGAGAAATCGAATGCAGACAGATATTTATACTGGAATATTAACTCCATTTGAGAGTTCAGATCCCTTTCTGGATTTGGAATGAAAATATTCACACTGAGCACTTGCAAATCACAATTTCCTTGTTACAAAACTGCAACTTGCTTACTTTTATTGATTAGCAACTTTCTTTATTTGAGCTCTGTGCCCTTGATTGACGAGAACAGAAGTTGGGAAGCATGTCACATTCAAAATTACTCACCATCATAAAATTATCTTATAACGATATAACTAATAACTATATAATACAATTTATTTATATATAATAACTCATGAACAAATGAAATTCTATCTGGCATGTAGTTTACATCCAGGTTTCTTACAACTGCTCTGTTTCAAACTGGCATAGGAGTACTGAACCAAACTGATGACAAACTGCAATTTATTTGAAACTTTTCAAGAAGCTAATAAAATCCTAGAATGGTTTGGGTTGGAAGGGACCTTGAAAATCGTCCAGTTCCAGCCCTCCTGCCATAAGCAGAGATGCTTTCTACTAAACGAGGTTGCTCAAAAAGCCACTTTATAGAATCAAATACAAAGTACCAAGTTTAGAATTATAGATGACACTGGCAGATAAAACATCTAGCTCTTTTGCCCTGTTATCCACAATTACTATTAAAAAAAAGTCTTAATTAGTACCAGTATATGGAAAATTTAATACAGCTATTTATTTGGAAGCTGGATTGGGAACACCTTTTTTCCTTTATCAAATCTTGTTCCCTAAATTAAAATCTTCATTGATTGAAATCTACATTGCAACACTGTGTTCTAGTAAAAAGTAGCTTCCCATACAGACTATGTAAATGGACAGAACATTTGTACAAAGTTGCACAGTAGGTATTTTCTGTGCTTTTTTACACTTTTTTTTTTCTAAGAAAAAATCTCAAATACTCCTAGATGAGGAAAATATTTGAAAACAAAGACTGAAACCTTCTTAAATTGGCATTTACCAAAAGCAAACTAAATTTGCTAATATCTGGCTTTCACAAAAATTGTCAGTTACCACTTTTATGGAAATCACTCTTTCTTTAAACCACTACCAATGTGCTTTGCTAATATTCATTTCACTCTATAAACGCACAAGAGATTCTGTCAGTTTCCCAGCTCTTTCCTATTATTTCATCTCCTATACTGGATTATATTGTCCTATTTATTTTTTTTAAGAAAGTAAAATTGTCTTTTTGGAAAGCAAAGGATTGACAACATCCATCAATCAACTTTTCCTAAAGCAATATAAAATTTATATTTTCTGCAAATGTGAGGACTATATAAATACCTTAAATAAATTTGACTGGAAATTTAAGGTTTCACCCACGATCAATCTAAGGTGTTTCTATATATATACATATATTATCTTTCCAGCATTTTTCTAAATAAATAGAAGCTCTTTCTATACTACTCTTAGCTATTCTTTTGAATGTGGATGTTTATCAGAAAAGTTATGCAAAAACCTGGTGGAAAATTTATCTTCTTTCTCTACAAGCTGTTAAGATGCCAGCAATTTTTAAGAACGGATTTTTGACGGTTTGTAAATGCAGAAGCACTTGAGAGTGGTTTGCATTTCATGTGCAAAGAGGGGTGGGAGAGAGGGAGAAAGAAGGTTTCCTACCATAGTAAGTGAGACGTCCTCTTGCAATGTTTTTTCCTCTTGAGTTCTCAGTAATACATTCATACAACCCTGCATCCTCCTGCTGGAAATTAGGTATTTCAATCATGCCATTGGATTTCCTTAGCTTTATTTTACTCGGAAACGGCAGACCATCAGTTCTTCTCCAGTTAATCTGAGGCACAGGGCTAAATACAAGACAATGGGACTTAAGTAAACAACTTTGCTTCACATACTTGACTGTCAAAATTAGGCACTTAAACTAATATGTAATACACCCCAGAAGTGACAAAACCTTGTGTTAAAAGTAGTATTAATACTGTACATGACAGATGGTCAGACAGCATGGTAACTGATTTGCATATGCTGTTCTGTTCCTTATGATATTATTTGTAGCATCACATTTTTCACAAATATCTGCTTTACTGTCTAAAAGCGACTAAAATTTCTTGTAAATCAGCACTGGCCTCCCCTGAAGACAGGAGAGATTTACACCAGTGCCCTCCATGGAATGGAATCAAGGAATCAAGGCAAGTCTTCTGCAATTCCCATCCTAGAAGACCCTTTCATTTTCTGATTTCAAAACTTTCCCTCATGTAGCTGGGGAACAGAAGCAAAAGCATACGATTAAGTTACCGTTCTGGAGTTTAAAATTACGAGTGCTTGACAAACTGTCTACAAATAAACTGCAGAGTGGTTAGTAAATACATTTACAGAAACATAAATGCATTCTCAGATCATTTATGAAACAAAAAAGATATCAATTGTGTGTGAAATGTCATTGAGAAGAGGAATGTATTTTAATCTTTATTTCAGCTATAAAGGAAGAACAATATTATGAAAGCATCAAGTATATTTAACAGTAAAATTCAGTGAAAATTCTCACTGACTTCAACAACAATTCCTTTACCCTGAGAAAGTGGAGCTACTTCAAAGGACATCTGCAAAACTGCATTGATCTCATTCAAGAGAATTTGAAGTGAAATGTAAATTCCTGTGTTGCCAACATGCACATTTTAATTCTAAACAACTAGAGTGACTCCAAAGCTCTTTCCCCTCTTATTCCAAGGCAGTAACTGTGGTCAAAGCAAGATCTTTAGAAAAAACTATCGACAGACTGCCAGATGTCCACAGCTGTAGCACCAATGAACGCTAACATGCTTCAGCTTTGCAGTATAGGTGAAGATGAGAACTTACTTTCCTAGTGCAAAGCATTCTAGCTTCACAGTCGAGCCTTTAGCTGCAGGAAGTGTCTCAGGAAACTGAACTTCTATTTTGGGTTCATATTCTCCCATTACACCTATACAAGACAATTGGAAAAGGTCATATTTCATTTCTGAAGCTACCTTTCTCTCTTTAGTGCTGCATAACATTACATTCAAAATTCAGTTTATTCCTACCATACTCCATTTAGAAATTCGAGCACAGGGACCTTCCAATGAAATCAGTCAGAGGTAGGAGAGGAAGAGGAAAACACAACAAATACAGTTTATCTTCTTATAAGCAACCAGTATTCTGAGAATGCATGAAAAATGACACCAGAAGATAAAAAAAAAAATCACTGGCAACTAGCTGTATGGAACATAATGAAAGAAGGGGTGTTTAGTCGCAGGTAAAGGGGAAGTCATACCATCGGTGCGCAGCACTAGAGGAGTAGGAGACCCAAGAACGTGGCTGTTTGTCACTGTGCTGGTTACGACACAGGTGTAATTTCCCACGTCTGACGGCTCCACTTTGGCTATGTAGAGGTGACCGGTCTCCTGAGACACAAATCGCCGACTGTCCTCTTGTACAAATGATGGATACTCATTGAAGATCCAAGCAAATGACAATTCTAATTGGTTATAAAAAATAAGTAAAGATGGTAAAGATGTTTGGTAGGGTTTTCCACATTTTTTTTTATTCTTCAGAGAGCTTTTTTTATTTATTGTATTTTATAGAATTATCATAGAAATATTGCATTATGTATTAAACAAGACCAGAGAACCAGTGATAAAAAAAAAAAAACAAAAAAATAAAAACATATCAGAAACAAGTGAAACCCCAAGAAGTTAAAACAAACCACTTTTTCAATGAAACCATACCTCTTCCAGTAGAAGAAAAATATGAAAGGAATTCAAAATCTTTTACAAAATAATATTTTTTGATCTACTCTCTTAAGACTTAATATGACGGGAAGAGGAGTAGACAGCAAAAAATGAGACCAGACTTTGTTAAAATGGAAATATCATTCAGTATCTACTTAGCAGCCCAGCTAGATACTTAACAGAAATGGCACGGGAGTATATGCAGCTGAAAGGAATGTCAAAAGAAGTAAAAGCACCTAGAGGAGCTCAGCACACAGCAAAACTGTGTTTTTCACACCAAAATTAGATCTTTGCATGAAATGGCAAACTGGCCCTCACTGGAGTACTTTACAGGCATTTTAAAGGAAAACTAAACTTCAAAAGACAAATCAGAAGATTTGGCAAAAACTACATTTAATTTTTTTTTCCCTCTGAACAGCACTCTGAGCTGTGTATCCAATTCTAATTGGCATGTGAGAAGCCATGTGCCTCTTTCATTCATATCCTACAGAATGAAAGGAAATTAATTTTTAATGGTTTTCCAGGCAAGAAATAATTTTTCACCCAAGTGCCACTCAGCTGAAAGTTTATAAAAAGATTAGAGCTTCTGCAAGTGCTAATTAGAAACGATTATAGTTTGATTGACCTGCCTTGGCGCTAAAATATCTTGTAGCATTTGCACTGCCCCTACAAAATGGAGATCATTCTTTTTTTTTGCACAGGTTTAATTTGAAAGTGCATACATTTGGATGCAGTCACCAAAGGCAGGGTTGGCATTTTCATAACCCCCACAGCCGAGTATGAACATGCAGCCAGGAAAGCACCAAGCCAACAGAATAATTTAACAAAAGGTAAGATAGTGCAGATAAAAAACACTCAACAAATTAAATTATTAAAATATTTATGGACTGGTTAATGCAAAAAGGGCATCAAATGAAATGGCTTATCATAATTGCATTTAATTTTCTTCAATCAATATTTAAACTCTTTCCATTACCATAATTTTGCAGGAACAACGTGTGTGTGAACAATTAACATTCTCAGGAATATTCTCAAGAGTTAAACTTTTGTTATACTGGGAAATTTTTACTGTTGGAAACAGTCAACTATCCTAGTTGTGCAGCATGTCTCCTCCAATGAAACAGAGCCAAAAAGTTTATTCCTAGGTAACAAGAGAAGTTGAATTAATTTATCCCAAGGAAGCCAACATGGATTTGTTACAAAAAGACAGAGTAGTTAGTGCAGTAGGAGGCAAAACCTTGCGACAGAGCTTGACTTCAGTAAGACGTCTGAGATATGCCACAAGAGTCTCATAAGGAAGACACAGCCAACAAAAAAATATACCCTATATAACTGCTCTCCCATCTTACAACAAGGCGCCAATGTTTTGATGTTGAACAGAGAGGGCTTGAGTAAGTAGTGTGATGGGAGGGCCATTGGTGGTGCAAGGCTCTGGCTAAGGTTCAATACTCTATCACAACCACTACGAATAGTGAATAAATAAATGCATAAATAAAAAAAATGATAGAGAGTACACCTCCAGAGTTTGAACGGGACCACAACCTGTGTATGGTCTTGCTAAAGACTAGAAAATTACTACATTTTATGAGATCTGCTACGGGATGAGAGCGATCATAAGAACGGTGGAAAGCATAGAGTAGGTATCAATTCAGGAACAGTAGGAAAAAAATGAAAGAAAGATCTACATTTTCAGCTTTATAACACACTCTAAAGTTTGGGAAGTCGCAGTATTAGTTCTGGTATTTATTGAGCTACTTGTTTTCCTTCAACTCAATATCTTATTTCATTCTAAAACAAAACAAAACAAAACAAACAAGACATTATTCTTAACATTCAACGGGGATGGACATGTCTGTACACCAAGCAGGACAAAAAGCAGCTTGATTTCATTATCTTTATACTGGGCTAATAGTAAATTCACTGAAATCAGTCAGTATGATTATGAAAACCACGCAAAGTGTATTTCAGTTTAATCAGATCCTTCGACAGCCTATGAATAAACACTCCTGGAAACCTAATTTCCCATTCAGCATACATTTTCATTGACTCTCTTAAACACAGAGCATTTCGTTACCAGTGCCCCACAGCCACTATCTCATTCTATATTTGCTGTACTTTACAAGATTGTATTCTGATTTTTCCCCCAAAATTCATATTAAACAACTTGTTCTGTGATTTATTATGTTTACACCCCTTGCTTGTTGCTGATCTTACAGCACCTCAAGGGATATAAATTCACTCCCTTTCTGTCAATTACAAATTTTCAGTTGATTTTCTGTTATAAATGAAAATAATACGTCTCTCCCGGGCTTCCTCAGAGATCTAAGCCTTTGCTTTCCAACACATTTTTTCCTTATTTGGAGACCATACATGGATAAGGTATTGGAAATTACAGTTATTACTCAATTTTTATTTGTTTACTACATCATGGTTGGCTTCTACTCTTTATTTAGTATTATTTGATTATTATTTACTGTGCAGTTTACCAGCCACAACATGCTCATACTGTTCTAGGCCCTTTGTGCACTTAAATGTTCAATTAAAAAAAAAATCATAAAATTGCCTGTCATTTTTAAACTGAAATTTTATAAGATTCTACAATTAAATCACCACAACTGTTGTGGTCTGCCATGGCCATTTCCTGCCATCTGCGAGCTTTGAGAAAACTTCCTATGGAAGAAAAATGTAATGTTGCTAAAGGGACATAGCGGGGAGGAAAGCCCCACACATTTAGTAGCTTTTAACTGGGTTCAAAACTAGGTCTTAAGTACATCTAAATGCTTTTGAAGAAAAATTACTTTTAATTATATTGCACATTTCCTTTTTAAGACAGACCTGCATATCAGTGGGGAACCACTGAATGGAGCTGGAATTACTTTATTTTTAATGAACAGAATGTTAGAGTCAATACAGGTTTGGGGAATTTATAAATGAATTCAGGAAGTCAGCACAGCAAAAGCTAGAAAACAACAGTGGAGATAGGCCTGCAACAAAGGAGCAGGATCATTCATAAAGCTGGTTTGATACACTAAAGCCTAAGGTCTGAAGGTCTTCTCTACTTATCATTCCCCCACCGTCTCTTAATGCTTTTCTTCTGGACCGCCACTCCTTTACACCTATTTAATACGCATCAGCTAGTTCCCTAATTCACACCTTAAATGAGATTTCTAAGACAGCCAGAAGTAAATGATGTGAATAATATTGTTCTGAAACTGATTGAAAGTTCTTATTTTCAAAATTGATTACAGAAGCTGATGTATCCATAAGTAATCCTGAAAAGAAATGGATGCATTCGATTTTGGAGTGCACTGAGCTGACTCAACAACATTTAGGGGTTCTGTTTTTTTGTTGCTGTTGTTTTTTGTTTTTTGTTGTTTTCATTTTTAACAAAAGAAGTTTCATGGCCCTCATTAAGCCTGAAATCCGTATTATTTCATGAAGTCCTACAATTTAGATTTTAAAATATTCTGTACTAGAGACATAATAGGAAGCTGAAGTATCTTGCTATTTTCTCTTCAATTACAATTCCGCCTAAACCACAGGATTGCATATGCCTTCAAAAAACTGTTTGTAAGGGAGTAATCAGAGAAAATTTAGTAATGATACCAACTGCAATTAAAGACATGGAAATCTGGAAGAAAACCCAAGTATTTTGAAATTATCTACCTCAGAGTTAAAATTAAAAGTAATGGGAAAGCAACTCTGGTTTTGAGCGGATAATGACAGATTACGTAATTATGAACAAAACCAATTAGTTTGTCATTTGGCCCAGCCTCAGCTGAAAGCGTGAACAATGCGGCACCGCGCGGCTATAGGCCGCAGTGTCCATCTGCCAGCATGGCCCTGTGTGGGGAACACCCTGACAATGGGACATTAATTAATTAAAGGTAGGGAGTTAAATCTGCATGAGGTAAACATGCACTGAACCCCCTAAAGATGCTCTTTTCTGGAAGAAAACTACCTTGCTGCAGCTTAATCCTGAGGGGACTGCACTACTGCGAGGTTAGGCCGCTGTACTTCTGGAGGCCCCGGCGCCATCATGCGCTTTATCTTGTATATGCTAGCTTCAAACTTCTCACAACTACCTCTCATTTCTTAAAGTAGATATAATTTACCTAAGTATTTTGCTCACTAGAATGAAGAAAACTGTATTTCTGCAATACATCCAACACATAGAGACTACCTCTGGCATTGCCTGAGTCAATGAGTATCTGGTTAAAGGAGTTCTGTCACCATACTAGATGAAAAAAGTTGGGAGTACAAGAGCTGCTGAAATTACCCCAAAAACTTTTAGAATAACTCTCTTCTTTTGCTTAAAGGTATTTTTTGTTTATATAAAATGTAAATTGTTTGATGGGAATCTGAGTCCAACTACAAAAAGTGAAGAACGTATCCTCAGAAACTCATTTTATTCCAGAGTATAATGGGAAATACTCTGATTTGAAACTAATGTATACCATTAATCTTTCTGGCATAAAAGGTGAATTATTTTGTAGATAAAATATAAAAGATCAATTTTCAGCATGCTGTGCAGGTAATTAGGCATGCAACTTCTGTGTATGGAATAACCCACAACAATGAGAGCAGTGCCAGAAACCTATGTAATGTCTTGCAATTTCAATCTACACATTTAATAAAAATATTGAAATGTTTCAGCTTGAAGTGGGATCCTTGCAATTTCAGCTAGCACCTAATTTTCATTTTTAAATGGAATATGGTAACAGTCTGCTTTTTTGATTCTGAAATG